TTCCTCTAAAACCACTTTTGGTGTTTTTGTCATGAATAGATATTGAATTATGTCAAATATTTTTTCCTGTATCTATTGAGATGATCATATGATTTTTAGCCTTCATTTTGGTAATTATGTTGATTGATGTATGGATATTGAACCATCCTTGCATACCTGGAATAAATCCCACCTGATCATAGAAAGATCCTTTTAATGTGTTGTTGAATTTGGTTTGCTAATATTTTAGGGGATTTTGTATCTATGTTTATGAGGGATATGGGTATATAATTTTGGTGTCAGATTAATGTTGGTCTTGTAGAATGAATTTGGAAGCATTCTATTTTTTTGAAACAGTTTAGGAAGAATAGGTGTTAACTCTTCTTTAAGTGTTTGGTAGAAATCACCAGTGAAGCCATCTGGTTCTGGATTTTTGTTTTTTGGTAGTTTTTTGATTACTGATTAATTTGTTAGTAGTAATCAGTCTATTTAGATTTTCTGTTTCTTCCTGATTCAGTCTTGGAAGATTGTATGTTTCTAGAAATTAATTCATTTCTCCCAGGTTGTCCAATTTGTTGGATTATAATATTTCATAGTATTCTTATAATCCTTTGTATTTCTGTGGTGTTGGTTGTAACTTTTCTTCTTTCATTTCTAATATTATTTATTTGAGTTCTCTATCTTGATAAAGTCTCTCTGAAGTCTTGTCAGTTTTATCTTTTCAGAGAACCAACTCTTGGTTTCATTCATCTTATCTATTATTTTTTTAATCTTCATTTCACTCTGGTTCTTTTTTAATCTTTGCTAGTATTCTATATGAAAAATAGTTATCTGTTTTTAAATGGTATGACTTTGTTTCTTTGTCTTTTTTTTTCTGTTGGAATACTCATATTTTAACTACTGTTTTTATAAGCTTTCTGAGTTAAGGAGATATTTTGATTCTTACACATTTTATTTATTTATTTACTTATTTGGCTCAAACAATAGAAATTTATTTTCTTACACTTCTAGAAAAGTCAGAGATTGAGGTTTCAGCAGAGTTGTTTTCTCCTTGTGCTTCTTTCTCTGCCTTATAGATGGCATTTTTTTCCTTGTGTCTTCAGATGGCATTCCCTCTCTCAGTCCTTATGCATTTCAGGCTTTAATGTTTGCATTTGTTTCCTAGGGCTGCCAGAACAAACTACCAACATTTGGTAGCCTGCAACAATAGAAATTTACTCTCACAGCTCCAGAGGCCAATAGATGTAAATCAAGGTATTAGAAGGGCTAATTAAGCTCCCTCAAAGGCTCCTTTCTTGCCTCTGGTAGCTCCTGGTTTTCCTTAGCTTGTGGCACTATCTGAATATTTGCCTCCATGTTCACATGGTCTTTTTCTCAGTGTCTCTGTGTCCTGGTAAATCTTTTTTCTTTTATAAGGACATTGTTCTTTGGGTTAAAGGTCCATTAAAAATCCAGGATGGTTTTATTTCATGATCCTTAACTTAATTACATCTGCAAGGACCCCGTTTCCAGATAAGATCACAATTTATGGGACCTGGGGTTAAGACTGGGAAATTTTGGGGGTGCCTGGTGGCTTAGTGGGTTAAAGCCTCTGCCTTCAGCTCAGGTCATGATCCCAGGGTGCTGGGATGGAACCCCGCATCGGGCTGTCTGCTCTGCAGGGAGCCTGCTTCCTACTCCTCTGCCTGCCTGTCTGCCTGCTTATGATCTCTGTCTGTCAAATAAATAAATAAAACCTTAAAAAAAAAAGACTGGGAAATTTTTAACTCACAAGAGTGTTATTCATAGATGTTATCTACTAAAGAGTATAAGGTTATTCATCTGTATTTTCTCTTGGCACTTTTGCTTTTGAATGTTTAAGCCATCTGGGATTTATTTTGATGTAAGGTAGGATGGATGTAAGCTTATTTTCTGTATAACATTATTGGGAGATTACTCATTTAATAAGTGTTGGCACTAGGATTTAAACCTATGACTTTTTTTCAAAGTCAGCATCTTTTCCTTTATGTAGAACTACCTGCTTTTAGTATTTTAACTTTAAAGAACTTTGCCTGTAAGACTGTTTTTGTCATCATACATCTTGTAACAGGAAAGATGACTCTTAACATGCTTTATGGGGACTTGAAATTATGATGGTAGCTGAATGTCTTGAAGAGTTTTCTAGGCACTTGGGCCCTTTTTCAGCAGTTGTTATTCTAGGAAAGAATAAGAAATGCCAGTTAGGAAAGTATGTTAGGAGAGCATAGTTTTGAGGTGCTGGCTTAATTTGCCATGTCTGATGCAGTTGTTTCGGGACATCTCATGGGTGTCTGTAGTATATGCTGTTTTACTCCTGTTAAATGGTATTTTGTTCCCCCTCCCAAATTTGTATTGAAATTCTAGTTAACATATAGAGCAATGTTGGTTTCAGGAGTAGAATGCAGTGATTCATCACTTAATATAACACCCAATGCACATCATAACAAGTGCTCTTCTTAATGCCCACCACCCATTTAGCCCATCCCCCACCCACCTCCCTCCTGCAACCCTGTTTTTTTCTCTATTGTTAAGAAGATCTTATGTTTTGCTTCCCCTCCGCTGCCACTCTTTTTCCCTATTCTCATATGTTCATCTGTTTTGTTTCCTAAATTCCACATATGAGTGAAATCATATGGTATTTGTCTTTCTCTGACTTATTTCACTTAGCATAATGCACTGTAGCTTCATGCACATCATTACAAATGACAAAATTTTATTATTTTAATGGCTGAATAATATTCCTCTATGTGGGGGCCCCTGGGTGTCTCAGTGGGTTAAGCCTCTGCCTTCAGCTCAGGTCATGATCTCAGGGTCCTGGGATCAAGCCCCGCATCGGGCTCTCTGCTCAGCAGGGAGCCTGCTTCTCCCTCCCTCTCTGCCTGCCTCTCTGCCTACTTGTGATCCTTCTCTCTCTGTCAAATAAATAAATAAAATCTTAAAAAAAAATAAATGCCTCTGTGTGTGTGTGTGTGTGTGTGTGTGTGTAAAAATAATGTATGTACCACATCTTCTTTATCCATTTACCAGTTGATGGACGCTTGAGCTCTTTCCATAGTTTGGCTATTGTTGGTAATGCTGCTATAAACATGTGCCCCCTTTTAATCTGTATTTTTGTGTGCTTTGGGTAAATATGTAGTAGTCTAATTGCTGGGTTGTAGGGTGGTTCTATTTTTAACTTTTTTTCTTCAAAGATTTTATTTCTTTTGAGAGAAGCAGTGAGTGGGGGAGGGGGTGTGGGCAGAGGTAAGGGTAAGAAGAATCTCAAGCAGACGCCATGCTGAGCATGGAGCCTGATGTGGGGCTCAGACCCACAACTGTGAGATGATGACCTGAGCCTAAGTCAAGAGTCGGGCTTAACTGACTGAGCCACCCAAGTGCCCCTCTATTTTTAATTTTTTGAGGAACCTCCATACTGTTTTCCAGAGTGGTTGCATCCATTTGCATTCCCACCAACAGTGTAAGTGTTCCCCTTTCTCCGCATCCTCGCCAACATCTGTTGTCTCCTGTGTTGTTCATTTTAGCCATTCTGACAGGTGTGAGGTGGTAGCTTATCTTGGTTTTGATTTGTATTTCCCAGATGATGAGTGATTTTGAGCATCTTTTCATGTGCCTGTTAGCCATCTGGATGCCTTCTTTAGAAAAAGTTTATTCATGTCTCCTACCCATTTCTTAACTGGATTATTTGGTTTTTGGGTGTTGAGTTTGTTCAGTTCTTTATAGATTTGGGATACTAGCCCTTTATCCAATATGTCATTTGCAAATATCTTCTCCCATTCTGTAGGTTGCCTTTTAGTTTTGTTGATTGTTTCCTTCCCTGTACAGAGCTTTCTATCTTGGTGAAGTCCCAGTAGTTCATTTTTGCTTTTGTTTCCCTTGCCTCAGGCAACGTGTCTCGTGAGAAGTTGCTACAGCTGAGGTCGGAGATGTTCCTGCCTATGTTCTCCTCTAGGACTTTGATGGTTTCCTGTCTCACGTTTAGGTCTTTCATCCATCTTGAATTTATTTTTGTGTGTGGTGTAAGAAAGTGGCCCAGTTTCATTCTTCTGCGTGTTGCTCTCCAGTTTTCCCAACACCCTTTGTTGAAGAGACTGTCATTTTCCATTGGATATTCTTTCCTGTTTTGTAGAAGATTAGTTCACTATATAGTTGTGGGTCCATTTCTGGGTTTTCTGTTCTATTCCATTGAACTGTGTGTCTGTTTTTGTGCCAGTACCATACTGTCTTGATGACTACAGCTTTGTAATATAGTTTGAAGTCCGGAATTGTTATGCCTCCAGCTTTTCTTTTCTTTTTCAGGATCGCTTTGTCTACTTGGGGTCCTTTGTGGTTCCATATAAGTTTTAGGATTGTTTGTTCTAACTCTGTGAAAATTGCTGATGATATTTTTCGTAGGGATTTCATTGAGTGTATAGATTGCATTGGGTAATGTAGACATTTTAACAATGTTTGTTCTTTCAACCCATGAGCCTGGAATGCTTTTCCATTTCTTTGTGTCCTCTTCAATGTCTGTTATAAGTGTTTTGTAGTTTTCAGAGTATAGTTCTTCTACTTTTACCTCATTGGTTAGGTTTATTCCTAGGTATCTTACTGTTTTTTGGCGTAACTGTAAATGGGATTATTTCTAAAAGGTGTTAATGTATCTTTTCAAGGGATGTTAGTTGTACTTATGAGTTAGGTTACATTAATTGTCATTCTTGTTGAGAGTTCTAGTGGTAATTTTAAAAATTCAAGTGATATTTCTTACATCCTGTAATATAATGAACATTTTGGACTTACTTCTGGTATCTGAATCTGTTGATAAGTGTTCATAATGACCACATTATGGTTCTGGTATATTGCTTAAAATTTGTTTACATATAGTCTAAAAGAGTAGAATGAATTCCATGTAGTCTGATGCTTCATATAATAATCATTTATGTCTACTACATACATTTTTCCCATAAAGTTTTAGAATAAGTTATGAAAAACAAAACTTATGGCTATTCTGTTATACATTTTTAAAGGAAAGCGAAAGAGAAGAAATTCCTGTGAAGACTATCCAGGCTACTAATGTGAAACTTAACCCTGTTTATTTTCACGACACATATGCCAGTAAAGGTGATTTTGATTTAATGGGCCCTTTGAAGCTGGAGGCCAGTTCTCTTCATCAAAATAAGCATTTGGGATCTGATTCAGAAACAGTTTTGCCTGTGGATAAATGTTTAGACACTGAAACTCCTGAAGTGTCCGTTCAAAAATTTGTGGATGTAGCATCTTTGAAGTCTATTAATGACAATGAAATTAATTACACTGATAGTCTTCGGTCACCAACTAGTGAAAGGCGAACATGTGAATATCACAAGTCTGTTGAAAAGAGCAAAGAGCGTAAGTAGTTTTTTTAAAAAAATAAAAGTTAAGAAATGTATAAAATGTTTATATATTTTGAATAGAATATGTTTTCAAGTGGAACTTACCTAATCTTTTGTATTAGAATTTTGTGTCTTATGGATTAGAAATTTTATCTTTATTCACACATCTAGTGGAAGTGTACTACTCTAAGTCTCAGTTTTTCCTTTTGCCACTGGTTCTCCATTACAGATCTTTCTGAGTTAAAGCTGGCTTATCCACCTTTAGAGAATTTTTCTTTTGTGGGAATGGATTTTCTTTTTTCTAACTAGTTTTGGGCAGATTGCAGTACTGTTGATATCTAAGATAAGTCAACTAAGTAAAATTATTTAGAATATTACATCATTTTGTTTCATATGTGATTGGATATTTTTGGAATTTTTTAGAAACAGATCTACCACAAAATGTTGTCTATCAGAACGAAGAGGGCAGATGGGTCACTGACCTTGCATATTATACATCTTTTAATAAAGAACAAATTTTAAATATGTCTCTAACTGACGAGATGAATGAAGACTTCAGATCTGGTTGTAAGTGTATTGATAACCACTTTATTGTACCATTTTCATTGTTTTTCATGGTGTTCTGAGATTACTCTATATATTGGTTAGCCATATCAAATCATTTTTGGACTATACATTTGAACCTTGAACAATATGGGGGTTAAGGGGCACCAACTCCTTGCATATTTCAAAATCTGTATAACTTTTGACTCCCCAAAATCTTAATTACTTACAGCCTACTGTTTACCAGAAGACTTAAGCAGTAACGTAAACAATTAACACCTGTTTTACATGTTACTTACATTATATACTGTATTCTTATAGTAGGGTGAGCTAGAGGAAGAAAAAGTTAAAATCATAAGGGAGAAAATACATTCATAGAACTATACTGTATTTATCAAAAAAAAAATTGGGGTACCTGGGTGGCTCAGTGGGTCAAAGCCTCTGCCTTCGGCTCAGGTCATGATCTCAGGGTCCTGGGATCGAGCCCCACATCGGGCTCTCTGCTGAGCAGGGAGCCTGTTTCCTCCTCTCTCTCTCTCTCTCTCTCTCTCTCTGCCTGCTTGTGATTTCTCTCTCTGTGTGTCAAATAAAAAATAAAATCTTAAAAAAAAAAAAAATCTATGTAAAGTGGACCTGTGTGGTTCAAACCCATGTTGTTCAAGGGTCAGCTGTAATACTGAGCTTATCAGTAGTTTTTATAGGAACAAAGTCTTGAATTAGTCAGTGCTAATCATTATAGAATGAGCTGAGCTTTTTCCTTAAGCAGGGACAGTGAGTCAGGCTATCATTCTTTTACATCAGTTTAGAACTTTCATCTTGCAGAGTTGGAAGGGACCTCAAGCTGTACGTTTTCACTTTTATTAAAATTCTGTCCCGAACAAAAGAAATATTATCTGATAAAAGCAATTACAAAGTCCTATCCATTCTGGAGTAAAACTTAAGAAATGTGGAAATGATGGGAGAAAAGTGACGGAAAACATAAATCTCAAAGAATGAGAGCTAGGAAAAAAAAAAAAAAAGAATGAGACCTAGGAGTATCAGCTAGGTTTGTTGATTATCTCTGACAGTGAAAGGAAAAACCAGTTTAAGTCTGCAGAACAAATTACATTTTGAGCCTTAGTCTGTGGAGGTGCTGTGCCACTGAGGCCTCCAGCCCCTGAGCATCTGTAAATCTGCAATAAAGAAAGGCATTCAGTGGCCTGTCAAGCCTAGTCATATTTTTAATAGGCTCAGAACATACCTCAGGAAGAAGTTATTCTGACTACTGCTTGTCCTGAGCTGCTCCTAACCATGTAATGATGTGGAAGGTAGAGACACATAAGGTATTTTTCCAGCCTCTAAGAAATTGTCCATCAGCTAAGGGGGGATAAGATAAGAATAAAACAGTAATTAGCAGCGTAAGAGACACAAACCAAATGGTTTTGGGAGTTTAGAGGAAAAATAACTTTTGCATGAATGGGTGATGGGTTTCACATAGGAGGTAGTAGCTTTTGAGGTAAGAGTTTCGAAAGGTAAATGCTTGAGGGCATGAGAAATTCTAAATGGATAAAAAACCCAATTAAAGAGAATCAAATGAGGAAGTCTGGGTGTGTTTTGAGAATGGTGAATAGTCCAATACCTTTATGACAAGGTATGGGAAGAGGAGAGTAGTAAGATACGAAGAGGTGAAGCTCGAGAGGTAGAGTGTAGGACCAAGTAAAGTAGAGTTGAGCTTTGACTACTGTGTCTGAGTTGAGGCTTGTGGGATAAGCAATAGGGAGCCACTGCAGACTTCAGTGTCCAACTTCCTTTGTGAGTTGTCTCTGGCAGCAATGGTCAGTTGACTGGGAGATTCCTCAGGATGTTGTAGAAATCTAGGTGTCATAGTGAGAATGAAAAGCAAGTAGAGAATGAAAGACCTGGAAATAAAATGATTAGGATTTGGTGACTGGATTTCAGTAGAGAGAGAGGCAAGAAAAGATTGAGGTTTGTGGTTGGAGTTACTTGACAAAATGGCAGTACCATGAACTGAGGTGGGAAAATCAGAATAAACTGTAGAATTTTGAATGATTATAGTTTGAGGTGGGAAGTGTGAGCCAGAAACTGGAAATTAAGTTACAGTTCGAGCTTGCTCAACAATATCTTGATTTAGAAAGAACAAGAGGGTACAGTCTGGACAGTGGATAGCAACTGTGTCACTTAAAAGTCAATGGTCATGGAATTTTCATGTGTAACTGGTGGGAGTATAAAGTGATAGAACCATTTGGGAAATTTGTCTAGGAGGAGCTTTTGAAGGTAAACTTTATGAACTTCATACTTTAGGGCCCCCAGTAATTCTGCACCAGAGTATATACCCAGTGTATAGAGGTACTCTTCACCAAAAGACTGAAATATTTATAGCAGCACTATATGATTAACTCCAAATTAGAAACTCCCAGATTCTCATTAATGATACAATGGATTGTGTTTATTCACACATTGGAATGCTATGTAGCAATGGAAATGAATGATGTGTAGCTACTTGTAGCAGCGGGGATGAATTTCACAAGCATATTGAATGAAATAGTGCAAAATAAGAGTACATGCTATATAAATCTATTTGTATATATTTCAAAATGTACCCTGCTCTGTGGAGTAAGAAGTAAGGATACTGGTTACCCTCTGATGGGCATGTAGTAACTGGAAGGAAGCTTGATTGGCCTTTTGGGGGTGCTAGCAATGTTATCTCTCTTGACCTAGGGTGTTAATCTGGCCACACAAATGTGTTCATTGTACACATAAATACTATATATATATATATATATATATATATATATATATATATATTACGTTTTGGTCAGCAGTTTTTAAAAATTAGTGATCAGACTGAGAAATATATTTGCATTCCTGTTATGGGTTAAAGGCCTGTTTTCCTAATGTATAAAGTGTTCTAATAAACAGTAAGAAAAAGACCAGCTTCTCAGTGTAGAATTAGGCAGAAGATATAAACAGACAATTTAGAGAAAAGGAAATGAAAATGGTTGTTAAATGTTCAAAAAAAGTTAATGGAATTTATTCATGGAAAGAAACTACTCCACGATACTATTTTTCCATTTTTTTTGGCAGTGATCCAGTAGTTTGGTAATAAAACTATATTGGCAAGGGAAAAGGTATTGTAGTATTTATATACTATTTATGTAGATAGGGAAGTATTAGAGCATCTAGCAAAATTACAAATGTACATACCCTGTAACCAAGGGGTTCTTCTGGGCATTTATTCTTCAGATATGCTTGCAGAAATGGTATGTGAATACATATTGTTTATAGTAACAAAAGGTTGGAAGCAATATGGATGTACAAAATAGGGAACTAATTAAATAAGGTACGTCCATATAAGGAAAATACATTGTGGTCATTAAAAAAATGGAAAGAGGCTCTTTAGGTACTAATGTGGAATAATCACTGAAATAGTTTAAATTCCAAGACATAGAAAAGCATAGAAAATATTTTGACATTTATGTAAAAAGGTGGAAGGGGGAAAGACACACATGTATTTATAAATACATATGGTGGCCAAGATTTTTTTGAAAGAGAAAGAAATGGATTGCAAGGAATCCCCAGCTGCTGAACTCAGAAATCAAATAGATTCAAATCATAATATCAGGGGTACTTTATATATTGGTTGCTTTTGGAGATGTGGGATGTAGGGTCAGGGATAAGGGGGAGACTTTCCAGTGCCATATTCCCTTTTATGTCTTTGGTTAACTTCCAAAAACTCTTTGTTGAAGCATAACATATATATGGGTACCTTTGCATTTTGAACTACGTGGGTGTGTTACTATTCAAGGAAAACTAAAATAGATAAAAGAAGTTTAATGAAACCATCCTTGTGATTAGGGAATGAACAAAGGCCAGGTTGGAAAGGATGAGTGGTGAAGAAATGGGGAAAATGATTATGGAATACTGTGGGGAAAAGTGTGATGGAAGGAAAGAAAGGATGAACTAGGTCAAGGGAAATCAGCGTCGGGAGCATGAATGCAGGGGAAGCATTTTTATAGAAAGGGGAAGGGAATTTTTAAAATATAAGAAGAGATAATTCTGAAGAGGAAGGTTGGACCCAGGTGTAATTTCATAATGTCAAAGTCATTCAAAATGAAAATTTATCTACTTAATAAACTTTATTCAGAAAATAAGAGATATGGCACCCTCTGCTCCATTTCTGCTTTGCCCCCTCTCTGACAGCTCCATGCATCTGAGTCACTGTATCACTTGTCCTTATGGCCTAGGATTAAAACTGGCTGGAGGGCTGGGGTATATGGCCTGCTTCAAAATTTAACAGTGGAAGCATTCAGGAGTTATTTGAAAGGACTATTTTAGATTTGGCAAAGAATTGGGTGTCGATTCTTATAAAAAATGAAGTTCTTTTTTCTCGTAATTGCTGACTGATTTTCTGGTGAGCATACAAAGTAGCAATATTACTGTAGATTTTTCTTGAATGGAAGAATCTGTTAAAGTTTGGAGAAGAAAGTACTTAGGAATCTAACAAATATCAGTTGGAACTGTTTAGTTAATGATTTGAGAAACATTTGATTTTTTTAAAAGATTTTATTTATTTATTTGAGAGAGAGAGGGGGAGAGTATAAACAGAGAGTGAGAAACAGACTCGCTGCTGCACAGAGAGCCTGATGTGGGGCTTGATCCCAGGACCCTGATGAGATCATGATGCGAGCCAAAGGCAGCTGCTTAAGCAACTAAGCCACCCATGCACCCCAGAAAAACACTTGATATTTAATGCAGTGAAGTAAATGAAGTCTTTCTGGGTTATCTTCTTAGTGGTCTGATTTCCTGCTTCCCATCCCTTGGCTGTTAGAGTTGGTTGGTTGATGCTTTCACATTTTAGGGCAATGGCTTTTAATTCTTTGAGTCATGGGCATCACAGAGAATCCTCATAGAAAAGTTTTTATGCGAAAGATTGTATCTCTAATGTGATTTGAGAGTTTCATTGTTCTCCTGGTGCCCATTCATAGGTTAAGAATATGTTTATGTAAGAAATGATGGGTTTACAAAGTAAAGAACCCGCCACTATCTGGGATGCCTGGGTGGCTGGCTCAGTTGGTTAAGCCACTGCCTTCGGCTCGGGTTGTGATCCCAGGGTGCTGGGATCGAGTCCCACATGGAGCTACTGGCGCAGCAGGGAGCCTGCCCATCTCTCCACCTCTGCCTGCCACTCTGCCTGCTTGTGTGCGCGAACACTCTCTCTCTGGTAAATAAATCTTTACAAAAAAAAAAAAACAAACCAAAAACCCACTATCCTAACAAGAAAGAACCTGAGCTATCTCTGGTGTTCTTTTTTTCCTGATTGGAAATAGTCTATTTCTATTCTCATTATGTTTCTCAGGATGTTAATGTTGAACTGTAAGGGTTTCCAAAAGAGCAATTTGGATCTGATTAGCTCCTGATGAGCTAATGAGAGAGGGGGATACCTCTTGTTTGGGCCATGGTAGACTGTCTCTTCTGGGTTGCATACAGCTTCCTGTCTCAGCCAGTCTCCTAAAGTACCAGGCAGAGACCCAGAGTGGGTAGCAGGTAGGCGGAGAGCCTGCAGACTGTCTGATTAGTCAACATGTTTAAAATTCTTTCCTCTTCTAAAGACTTGAGCAGGATCATGTGCTTTCTAGTTTGCCACTATCCCATCACTCCCTGCCATGTCACACCTGGACCTTTATGCTCATCCACTTCTGGCCTCTGAGGCATTTTAGTTTGTGGATTTGACTTAGAGATTTAAGGTGTCCAGGCCCGTTCATTTCCCTAAGGTAAACTGAGTTGCTCAGTAGGGACTTTGAGGGCAGATGTTGGATGACCACTTGTTTTAGTTTGTCAAGCCTATGGTGTTTGCTGTGATGTGGGATTTTCCTTTCTAACACTGAGACAGTCCTGGGCAAACAGGTGGTTGGGCATCCCAGCAGACCTCTTCACTACAAGTTTATAGGGTGACTTACTGTTGTGCTGTTTCCAGATAAAATTTCACAGGTATTCCTGGAGTACTTTAAGTCAGTTGTGCCAAAATCTTCAAAAACTAAAATTAAAGTGCATCTTTTACAGATAAGCTTACATTGTAAGGGCCCTTTAGCAAGTTAGGACAAGTTAGTAACTCATAAAATCATTAACAGTAGAGTGTTCATTACTAAAAGTTTAAGAACCAGAGACTTAACATACTTAAAATAGATACATCAGTTGTATGAAGAAAGCTTTCATATACTTTTCTCAGTTATTTCTTTACTGTTTCATTTTCCTAACTAAGTTTTCAATATCTGCTAGTTTTTAATTAGGCATTAGTATAATTTAATTATATAAACTAATTCTTTTTTAAGCTGAAGCCCTGGATTTGATTGATCAAGATGAAGAAGAATTTAATAAAGAGCATCAATTTATGCAGGTTCGTATTTTATTGGGATTAACCAGAGTTTTAAAATTTTACCTGTATTCTTTCTGGATAGATACATAGTTTGTATAGAATTATATCTTGTTTTCTCATGTTTATACATAATTTCTTTTTCAGTCATGCTCTCAATTATTAATTAAAAATAACTGCATGCTAAATAAGTTCAGTTCACTTAGACTCACCTTAATAGGCTTTAAAGATCTTACCATAGTTTTTAACCATGTTTTAAAATGAAGTAATGCTATTAAAACAAATTGAATATATTGATTACCTTATTATTAGCTATTTAAGCTTGATTTTGTCCTGATTTTTTTTAAATGAAGATGTTTAAATTTTCTTAGTTAAATTTTCTTATTTTTGCATATTAGAAGAACAGAAGGAAGCCTTGCTGGGGAAATAAAATGAAACAATAACTTTCTCCCTAGGAAGAAAATATAGATGCCCAGAACACTTCAGCTGCACTAGGGGATACATCTTGGGGAACTTCAATTAATTATAATTTGTTGAGGAAATCACTTAGCACATCAGATTTGGACAAAGATGATGCCAGTTATTTACGCCTATCTTTAGGAGAGTTCTTTGCTCAAAGATCTGAAGCTCTTGGTTGCCTTGGTGGTGGTTACAATGTGAAAAGAGTAAGTATGATATGTGCTGAAAGTGGTTGAATTAATTTACCAGCCCTTATATTTTGAATGTTATGATGATATTAGCTATAGCACAGTATCTTTACAGCAGGGACAGAATAGGCATATGATAGAATTGTGGTAGACAGCTTGGGTTTTATAGTCAGTCAGACCCTGACTCCAGTCCTGGTTCTATCTTTTAACTCATTCTGTGACACGGAGCAATTTATTTAACTCATCTGTGCCTTAATTTTCCAATTTTTAAAATGGAGTGCTATTTTATAGGGTTTCATAAGAATTAAGTGTGATGGGACACAAAAAGAAAGCACTTAGCACCAAGACTAACTTGCAGCAGGTGTTCAATACCTGTTAGTTGATATTGCTATTGTTATATCATTGGTTGACGGGAAGAATTTGAAGATTGTTTTTTTTTTTAAACTTTTACCTGAAAACATGTTTTGGAATATAGGAAAGTTTTGGTTTAATAAGCTGTAATACATGTAAAAATTTGAAAATGTAAGCAATAATAGTAAGTTCTATGAAGAGTGGGGGAGACAAACCATGAGAAACTGTGGACTGTGAGAAACAAACTGAGGGTTTTGGAGGGGGAGGGGGATGGGAGGTTGGGTGAGCCTGTGGTAGGTATTATGGAGGGCACGTATTGCATGGAGCAGTGGGTGTGGTACATAAACAATGCATTTTGGAACATTGTGGGGAAAAAAAAAGAAGTTGCTTTAGCTGTGGTGGTCAGGGCGACCGACCTCTGAGGAGATGGCATTGAACTGGGACCTAAATGATGGGAAGGAGGAGGCTGCCAAAAGATCTGGAGGCAGAGTGTTCCCAGCAAAGGGGGATCATCTATGTGGAGGCTTGGAGGTAGAAACTAGACTGGCATTTCAAGGAACAGAAAGCAGGCCAGGGTTGCTGATGTAAATGGGGGAAGGGAGAGAGGGTAGGATGGTTCAATGGTAGAAGTATATCAGGACCAGATCATGAGGGGTCATTATAGGACTTGGGTTCATCTGAAATTAATTGGGAAGAAATGCTTGGAGGCAGGAAGCAACTTCATCGTCGTGCCGGCGCCATCTCCGAGTGTGACATGATGCTACTACTGTATATGGAACCTGGGTGGAGAGGGGCAAGAGGAATAGCAGCAGGCAGAGCGTTCGTACTTGGGAAGAGATATGAAGGCTGGTGTCTAGAATTATAGTATAGACACAGAAAAATCAAGGATTCAAGATTCCTTTTGGAGGTAGAGTCAAAAAGCTTGATAAATTCTTTATAGGGAGTTTGGTTATTGGAGGGAGTGGTATTAAAACTGGATTTTACTAAATATAATTTGAAATAATAGCCATGGTGTTAGAACTCAAAGTCCAGATACAGGACTTAAATTTGATCTGAACTGGTACCTGCATTTGGTATGTTCAGTTACTTTGACTGGCCTACCTGATTACACCTCAAAGCAGTGTTAAAGAGAAGTGATGATGTTGGGGTTCCCTGACACATCCCATCCCTATACATTCCTGTCTGTATTCCAGTGAATTAAAAAATGAAAATAAGTGCTTTGGAGAGACAGATTTTCCTGCCTGGATTGATTGGGATTTTGACGTTATGAGAGAAGTTGAAGATTAAATGAAATCCTTACTCAACAAACAAAGCACTGGATCGTGGAAAAATAGATCTATCATTTATTTAGAATTTCTGTTTTGGTTTGAATTATGAAATGTTACTTGCATTCAAGTTGCTGGATCAAGGGAAGAAATTCCCAGGTGAAGCTCAATTGAAAATTGAGTGCATTTAATGAATTTACATTTCAGGTCTGACATGTCAAAGTTGTATAAGAAAGACAAGTGGGAATTCCCCACTCCTTAGCACTTTCTTCCAGGTGCTAGGAACAAACCTAATCTTCCCCCCACCCCCAACTAATCTTAATACAGATTTTTGTGGATGTATTGTATAAAATAAATACCCTTATACTTACAAGTTTTAAGAAGGCAGGACATTCTATCTTTTATCTCATTGATATGTCACACTGATGATAAGTAGTGCCTGACAGTAGCTACTCCATAATAATTCCTGAAGGAATGAAGTATATTTTCTGGGTGGTTTGAATTTGGATTTCTTAGAGCAGCTTATCTGACAGTATTAGTTTGATGATTGAATATGGCAGTAAGTAAATAAAACTAGACTTTTAAAATTTATTTCTAGTTGAGTTTAAATGAAAAGAACAATTATTTTGTTGAAGTAATTTAGCTAGGTTACCAATAGTAAAATAAAATAGTCTAGAATTTCTCAGAGCAGTTAAAAATTAAGGAAATAACTCACATGTTTATTTTGTAGCCATCATTTGGTTATTTTATTAGATCACCAGAGAAGAGAGAACCTGTTGCTCTCATAAGAAAATCTGATGTATCAAGAAGTAATTTGGAAAAAGAAATGGCTCATCTTAAGCATGATATATTTTCAGGTAATGGATTAAATGAAGGAGTTTTTAGTAACCTTTTTTTAAACTATAAGTTAGTGGTTCTGTGATCATGTTAATGAGTGAAAATGTATATATTGTTTTGAATTTTTTCAGTATTTGTTACAGATTTTATTCTTATGTAACCCGTATTGCCTTTTTAGTCGAAAGTGGAAACAAGTCAACCAAAATCCACCTAAATCCTTTTGTAATGAAATACTTCATTTGTTCAATGGGTTAGTTCAAATGGGTTAGTTAATTTTGGCCTATTCAACTACTGAGTTAATGAACTTAATTAGACTTTTGCTTAAAATGATATTTTGAGATTTGGACCATAATAGTCTAAGTATGACAAGTATCCATGATAAATATTTTTTGTAAAGATTTATTTATTTATCTTAGGGGGTGGTGGAGTAGAGGGAGAGAGAGAATCTCCAACAGACTCCCTGCTGAGTGTGGAACCTGATGCAGGGCTCGAGCTCATGACCCTGAGATCTTGACCTGAGCCAAAATCAAGAGTTGGATGCTTAACGAAATGATCCATCCAAGCACCCCTCCATGATAAATATTTAAAATCAGACTTTCTCAGTAATAACATACAATTACTGAACAGCTACTTTTTGTTAGTACAGTGCCTGGTGCTACATATATAAAATTGTACAAGATTTGCTCCAGTCCTTAAAGGGCCTATATCTAGTGGAGGAGTTGGGATGAAGGGATTGGATATAAAATTAGTTGATTTTCTATTGTTGTAAAGAGGGACTCAATTTTTATTTTTATTCATTTTTATAGCAAGTGTGTGCATGAGCAGCAGGGGAGGGGCAGAGAGAGACAGAGGGAGAGAGAGAGAATCTCAGGCAGGGTCCACACTCAGTGGAGAGCCTGACATGGGACTTGATCTCACAACCCTGAGACCATGACCTGAGCTGAAACCAAGAGTCAGATGCTCAACCAGCTGAGCCACCTAGTGCCCCAAGAAGTACTCATTTTTGAATTCAGCTTATTGTATATTTGTGAAATGTTTAAAGCTGAAAATATTAAATGAGTTTGTCAGTACTTGAAAGGGAGAGATTAAAATCCACAATCTAAAGTTTAAACTTGGCAAAATCAAATTGAGGTCCAAAGACTCTTCCTTGGCAGTTAGTCATGCTGCGTGGTCCTTATCCCACAGATTGTTTCTGTGAGGTAGCATATAGATGTAAGTTGAATTATTGTTTATTTTCTACAGGAGACTTAAAAGCACAGCTAAGTGAAGGATCAGTTACACTTCAGGCTGAAGAACTGGAGAGTATTTCACAAGTGGATGAAAGTGATGTGACATTAACTGCCACTAACAGCAAAACAGAGGTATCTTGAGCTTTCCATAGAGAAAAACTGAAACTGCATTGTCATAGTTCTTGTATAAGATCAACACAAGGTCACATGTGAAAAATATATACAGTATAATATTGGTTGGGTTTTTTTGGATTCAGTTTTATTATAAATGTCCTTTGAATTTTCAGGAATATTTTAGTCAATGTATAATAAATATGCATGCCAAGTACATACGTACATACTAAACATAATAAGGATACATAAATTTATAAAACAACCTTACAGTCAGTGAGTTACCACAGCTTACCCATGCATACCCCCAGGTCGAGAAAGAACATCAGTAGTAGCTCAGAAACCATTTTTTTTTCCCCTTCTGAGCACTACTCCTTCTATGTGCTATTAATTTTCCCTGCTTTTGAATTTTATTTTTAAGAAATGTACCATGTATTCTTTTTCTTAGATTTTTTTTCACTTGTGTTTGCTAGATGCACCTATTTTAAGTATAAGAAGAAGCTCATTTTCATTACTATATGTAGTATTCTATTATAAGAATACCCTGCATTTGCTATGCCCATTAGACATGTCCTTTGGACATTTGGGGTCTTATGTCAATATGACACTGTGGCTTTGTAAGTCTTGTTACCTTATTTTTCTTGTAAAGTATCTTGACTGTTCTTGGCCATTTGCATTTCCATATATATTTTAAAATCACTTTGCCATCTTCAGCAAACCAACCGGTAGTACTGTTGGGCTTTTAACTGGTGTTCCATTTAATCTGTCAGTCAGCTTGACACCTTTATAATACTGAATCTTACAATTCATGAAAATTATATATCCTTCCACTTAGGTTTTAATTTTTCTCTGTTTTATGATTGTTTTGTGGGTGTGCAGAGATGACTGCACATCATTTGGATTTCTTTCTAACTTGTTGAAACAGTGTTTTAATACTGCCTTTCTTAGCTTCACTCTTCCTTTTTTTGGCTAAACAGAAATATATGTTTTTTCAAATACTCAACTTATATGTAGCGACCATGCTCAATTTACTATTAACTCTAATAATTACCTGTAGATTCTTTGGATTTTTCTATATATGCAGTTTTATCTTCTGAGAATAACAGTAGTTTTTTTCCTTTCTGATTTTGATACCTTCAATTTCTTTGACTAACCTACCCGATCATACCTCAGAGCAGTGTTGAAGAAAAAGTAATGATGTTGGGGTTTCCTGACTGGGCAGGAAAGCTCTTCAGTATTTTATTTTTAAATTGGATGTGTGCTACTATGTGGTCGACTAATCTTCTACAAAGCAGGAAAAAATATCCAATGGAAAAAGACAGTCTCTTCAACAAAGGGTGTTGGGAAAACTGGGCAGCAACATGCAGAAGAATGAAACTGGACCATTTTGTTACACCATACACAAAAATAAATTCAAGATGGATGAAAGACCTAAACGTGAGACAGGAAACCATCAAGGTCCTAGAGGAGAACACAGGCAGGAACATCTCCAACCTCAGCCATAGAAACTTTTCACTAGACACGTTGCCTGAAGCAAGGGAAACAAAAGCAAAAATGAACTATTGGGACTTAACCAAGATAGAAAGCTTCTGCACAGCGAAGGAAACAACAAAACTAAAAGGCAACCTACAAATGGGAGAAGATATTTGCATGATAAAGAGCTAGTATCCAAAATCTATAAAGAACTGATCAAACTCAACACCCAAAAACCGAATAATCTAGTTAAGAAATGGGCAGAAGACATGAATAGACATTTTTCCAAAAAAGGCATCCAGATGGCTAACAGGCACATGAAAAGATACTCAATATCACTCATCATCAGGGAACTACAAATCAAAACCAAGATGAGCTACCACCTCACACCTGTCAGAACGGCTGAAATGAACAACACAGGAGACAATAGATGTTGGCGAGGATGCGGAGAAAAGGGAACACGTTTACACTGTTGGTGGAAATGCAAATGGATGCAGCCACTCTGGAAAACAGTATGGAGGTTCCTCAAAAAGTTAAAAATAGAGCTACTCAATGACCCAGCAATTGTACTACTAGGTATTTACCCAAAGGATACAAAAATACAAATTCGAAGGGGTACATGGACCCCAGTGGTTATAGCAGCATTAGCAATAGCTAAATAGTTCAGCAATAGCTAAACTACAGAAAGAGCCTAAGTGTCCATTGACTGATGGATGGATAAAGAAGATGTGGCGTATGTCTAAAATAGACTGTTACTCAGCCATCAGAGATCTTGTCATTTGCATCGATGAATGGAGCTAGAGTATATTATGCTAAGCAAAATAAATCAGAGAAAGACAAATACCATGTGACTTTACTCATATGTAGAATTTAAGAAACAAAACAGGTGAACATGGGTTAAAAAAAAGAGAGAGGCAAAACATAAGAGCCTCTTACCTATAGAGAACGAACTGAGGGTTGATGGAGGGATGTGGGTGGGGAATGGGCTAAATGGGTGATGGGCATTAAGAAGGGCACTTGTTATGATGAGCACTGGGTGTTTATATGTAAGTGATGAATCACTGCATTCCACTCCTAAGACCAGTATTACACTGTCTGTTAACTAACTAGAATTTTAAAATTTGGAAGAAAAAGGTAAATTAGATGGGTGCTGTAGTTTTTATTTATTATCGGTTTTTAAAATTCACTCTGATACTTGTCTGCTAGTTTGCTTTGTTTTTAATTTGTAAGGAGGTTGAATCTTGTCAAATGCTTTTTTGTATCTGTCAAGGTAAGCAAGCATCTGCTTTCTTTTTTTCTGGTAATGTGGTGAATCACAAGAAATAGTTTTTAAATGTTCTGTTGTTCTTCTATACTTGGAATACACCTATCCTTTTTATAGATTGTTGGATTCGTTGCTTATGGTCTATTTAGAGTGCTGGGTCTGTGAGTGAGCAGAATGCCTTTTTGGTTTTGTTATCAAGGTTTTGATCATCTCATTTTTTTTTTCTGTTTTTCTTAGAGTAGAAGAATGGTACTCTTATTTTTATTTATTTATTTTTTTTAAAATTGGTGCTGTTAGATTTTGATAGCATACATTGGTGAAATCCTCAGAGTCTGGAATTTTCTTTAGTACTTTTTAATCGCTGACTCAGCTTTTTTTTTTTTTTTTTTTTTTGAAGATTTTATTTATTTGAGAGAGAGCACGTAACTGCATGAGCAGGGTGAAGGGCAGAGGGCAAGGGAGAGGAACAAGCAGAGTCCCCACTGAGCAGGGCGCCTGATCCCAGGACCCCAGGATCATGACCTGAGCTAAAGTCAGACACTAAACTGACTGGGCCACCCAGCTGCCCCTCGATTTCTTAAATAGTTATAGGACTATTCTGATCTTTAAAACTTGTGTCAGTTTTAATAGATTGTAGCTTCCTAGGAATTACAACCTTTCATCTAAACTTGAAAATCTATCACTCTGTATAAATTGACAAATATTGACCGTAATATCCTCTTGTGATTGTTTAATATTTTAGGTTCTTAAGGAATATCTTGTTATATATTGGCTCTTTTCCCTCTCTGTTTTCTTAGTCATTCTTATCAGGTATTTCTCAATGTTATTAATTCATTCATTTTATGTATTCTCTGTCTTCTATTCATATTTTTTGGTCTTTATTTCCTTCCTTATATTTTCTGGGGATTTAATTTGTTGTTTTTCTAACTTCTAGATATAAATGTTAAGCTTAATTTTTCTGCCTTTCTGGTTTTCTTACATAAACATCTAATGGTATAAATTTCCCTGAAAGCAGGGATTTTGTTGCATCCTATACTATTTTTTACATCACATATATTTTGCTAAGTCATACTTTTTTTCTTTTTTAAAGATTTTATTTATTTACTTGACAGAGATCACAAGTAGGCAGAGAGGCAGGCAGAGAGAGAGAGGAGGAAGCAGGCTCCCTGCTGAGCAGAGAGCCCGATGTGGGGCTCGATCCCAGGACCCTGGGATCACGACCCAAGCCGAAGGCAGAGGCTTTAGCCCACTGAGCCACCCAGGTGCCCCAGTCATATTGTCTTTATAATTCCATTTTAAATATTTTCTGATTTTTCTGGTCCATTGTGTTATGCAAGTGTATTGCCTAGTTTCCAAACATTTAGGGATTTTCCAAATTTTTAAATATTGATTCTAGGCCTGTTGTATTGTAGTCAGAGAAAGATTGGTTTTAGTCCTTTGAAGTTTGTTGAAACGTTATGTATGGCTCAACATTTGTTCCATTTTTAAAAATATTTTCTGTGCACACGACAGGAATGCCTATGGTGTGATCTTTGGTTGCTCTCTTTTGTATATTTTATTTAGAAAAATTTATTAAATCATAGTGATGAAACTATCATTAAGAATATTGTACTTGTTCTTTCAGTTATTTAGATATTAAAATCTCACACTATGATTATGGATTTGTCTATTACATACTGTGAATCTGGCATTATTTGCTTTAAAAATTTTGAAGCTGGGTTTTTAGGGTACATACAAATTAGAATTGTTCTAATGATGAATCAGACCTTCTGTCATTGTGTATGACTGCCTTTGTCTGCAGTTACGCTTTATGCCTTAAGTCTAGTCCGGTGTTAACATAAGTGACACCAGCTTTCGCTCTTTAGTGTTTATTGAGTGTTTGCATGTTGTATCTTTTCCTATTTTGCTTTTAACCTTTTATAGGAAAAGTCGCTGAAATAATCTGAGGCCATGGGAGATAGTCTTCCAGACAGGATTTGTGTTTGCTTCTGACATGAAAGAGGAACACTAGCAAGACATAAATAGGAACCACGGGTAAACAACTGAAATGGAAGCCACGGCAAAGAAACATAAACCTATTTAATATTTAAAAAATGCAAGTTAAAACTTCTGTCTCCAGTAATAGCAGACTAAGCAATGCAAACCAACTCTGGCTGACAACAGTTAAAACTGGATAGCATATCCAGAAGCATCTCTTAGAAGGCGCAGGAGAGCTAAAAAAAAAAAAAAAAAAAAGGAAAAAAAAACTATTGGGCCCAAATCCAAGAGAAGGAAGAATCCCAGTACTGAGGATGCTCTTTCCTGTGGGGATCTGTTGCTTCAAGAAGATGCTATGGAAAAAAAAAAAAAAAAGAAGATGCTATGGATAAGAGTTTTAAGAAGAAACTTAGCAAAGGTGTTCTTATGGGAGTGAAGGAATAAAAACAGAGTTCAGTGCCCACCAATGATGAGAGCCTAGCCATGTAACCATGCTTCAGGATGGGACCATAAAGGGCTACACACCTTAGGAGAAAAGACGAACCAAAAGTAGGCTAGCTCTCATAAGGACTGAGGCCCAGCTCCAATCAGCTCAATCCCAGTACCTGGATCAAAGTGATCTGAGACTGCTAGTGTTCCTCATTTCTAACAACTGAATGAAATTACCAAGAATTATACTTGGAATCACGATGGCTCAAAGGTTTCTCAATCCCAGTATCTTAATTTTTTGTTTTAAATTATCATCTGGTTCAGTTTTAACACCTCTTTAGCATCTCTTCAACTCCTGAAGACTTTTCAAAAATAATTGATAATCCAATTTTGTGAGTAACCCCATACTCTGTAATTAAAGTTGATAACAGCTATCTGTTTTTTAATTAGGATATTTAATTGGTATACCATTAATTTCTATCTGCTGTTAAACTTTATGTGACATCTAAAGATTAAACTAATATGTATATGTCCATGGAAACTGAGATAAATTTATCTGATGTGAATTTTCTCCTTTCTAGGACAGTTTCTTCATGAGTAGCCAACCCCAAAGATACAAAAGCAAGCCGCCTACTGGCAGTGATTCTGTCCTTAGGATAAGCACCATCGCTTCAGCCATTGCAGATGCGTCAGTAAGTACCGATCCTGCCCAGCTTGCTGCCATGATCAAGGCACTTTCAAATAAAACCAGAGAGAAGACTTTTCAGGAAGATAATAAACAAAAGGACTGTTCCATGCTGCCTCATTTCTTACCTAATGATACAGAAAAAAGTAATGGATCCAGCATGTTTGATATGGAGAAATACCTTAAAAAAACAGAACTCAGTAGATATGAAAGTGGACTAGAAAACCTTTCAAGAGCTGGTACATCTGGTCTGTGGGATTTATCTTTGCCAAAAGAACGGACTACACAAGACATCCATACAGTGGACTTAGGTGCCACTAATGTAAGTATAAGGGAACCAGAAGAAAATAAAGCATTTTCTGTTTATGGTGAAAACAGAGAGAGCAAGAATCAAGAATCATTGAGAACAAATTGTCCAAATTCAATTCTTACAAATAGAAAAGAGAGTGAAAGTACCATAGTTGATGTGAAGACATATCCTATGGACAACAAATTATCAGATACTGGTAACTGTGAAACAGCCACCTCAGTATCCACTCCAACATCTAATAGGTATTCATTAGTAAGGAACCACAGGATAGCATCCGTTTGGCTGTCAGGAGACTGTGAAGAAATACCAAACAGAGAAAATCAGAGGCAAAATGAGTGTGTTAGTGAAGCAAGCAGTGGTGAAAAACATGTGACTTTTGGAAAACATTCCATAATTACACCTAAAAATGTTGGTAAGTATTGAAGTAATTGGTCATGTTCACAAAATTACAAGTGATTTTTTTGTTGTTCTCATCAAAAATAACACCTCTCTGATAGATTTGAAAAATCACTCTCCTGAGCATGGTGGACATAGCTCAGAGGATGACCAGGATAGCTTCAGACCTTCCTCTTCTCCACTGAGTCATTCTTCTCCTAGTGAAATTTCTGGAACAAGTTTATCAGGGTAGGTGCTTACCTTTTTTTTTTTTTTCCTTTTTCTTTAAAAATAAAAAATACGTGTTCAGTATAAGAAAATTGGAAAAAGTGTAGAGAAGAAAAATAATCATTTATAGGTTCATTTCTCAGAGGTAACCATTGTAAATATTTTATGAATTTGTTTCAAGCCATTTTTCTGTGCAAGTCTTTATACTTTGCTGTTTTCACTTACTATACTGATTCTTTGTATTTAAGAGAAAATTAGTCTGCACAGTGAATCAGCCATGGATTATTTGATGCCTCTGGTGGAAAGTGGTAGACACTCTATTTTACTGTATTTTGTCCCTTTATTTTATCTTTTTTTTTTTTAAGATTTTATTTATTTATTTGACAGAGAGAGATCACAAGTAGGCAGAGAGGCAGGCAGAGAGAGAGGGGGAAGCAGGCTTCCTGCTGAGCAGAGAGCCTGGTAGGAGGCTTGATCCCAGGACCCTGAGATCATGACCCGAGCCAATGGCAGAGGCTGAACCCACTGAGCCACCCATGTGCCCCACTTTATTTTATCTTTTGTTTGTTTTGCCATTTTAATGATACTGAGATGAACAACTTTGCCCATAAAATTTTTTTCCATGTTTTGACTAATTTTCTAAGGATAGGTGAGTAGAAGTTGCCAGCTCAGGAAATTATTAGCAAATTATTATCTAAATAGGTCTTAAAAGACTTGCATTCTTACCATCAGTGTATGATGAGAGTATCCATCTCACTGTTTTCTTATCAATATTTTAAATAGCTTAAAGGTTTGGATATTATTTTTTTTATCTTGTATTAATTTGATTTTTTTTAATGCTAATGAGATCGGTAGATACTTTTTCAAGGGTTAGAAGAAGACTCCTAATACTTCATAGGTTTTAACTCAAGTTATTGTAAGAACATTTTAAAACATAATTTTTCAAAAATGCTGTAATTTGCATATTCAAAAATTACATAGATATATGTACGTATAACTTTTGAATGGTGTAGATTTATTGCTTTATGAAATGTTTATATGTGTATTTATAAATGTATATATTTGTATATATGAAATGTATACATATGTATATATGTGTATATGCACTCATGTGCCTGTGTGTATTTCCCTGCATTTACGGTGTTCCTTGTCTGCCTAGTTCTCCAATCTCCTCACTTGGGAACTGCTGTTGTTCGTTTATTAGGTATTCTAGAGTTTCTTTATGCATGCATAACCAAATAGGAATATATATTCTTACTATCATCCCTTTTTATACTCAATATAAAGTCCTTTACACACTTCTTGTGTTTTGCTGTGTAAGGTTACTTATTACAGCTTTGTTTGTATTATAGTCACTATGGTCATGTAAAATAGATCATCTATAGGCTAAGTTCCCAGAAATGAGATTTTGGGATCAGAGTATTTGCATTCATGTACACATTTAAATTAGTATAGCCATGCCATAGATTTAATACTAATATTAATTATAATTAATCACAATTATTAATTATAATTAATAATAAACCATATTAAATAATTAATATTATTGCTGATTTAATTTTCCCACCAGCAGTTTAAGAGAGCCTGTTTTCCCACACCCTCATCCACACAATGTTTATACAACTTTTTGGTAGTTGACACTTTGAAAGGTGAAAGAAATAGTATCTGAGTATAACTTTAACTCATGTTTTTTAGGAGTGATAGTGGGCATCTTTTCCTCTATATTTGTATTTCTTTTGCTATGAAATATCTGTTCATGTTTGTTGCACATTTTTCTGATGGATTTTTAGTCTTTTTTTCTCCATTTCTCGGAGCCCTTGATGTATTAGGGAGAATGAATAGCCCTTTGTGATATGAGTTATATAGTTCCTAGTCTATAGAAGCATCTTTTTCTTTTTACTTTTGCTTTTATTTATTTTGCCATATAAAAAGTTTATTATTAAATTTATGAATTTTGTCTTTTATGGCTTTTTTTTGGAAAGAAGGGAGGGAGAATTTTTTTTTTTAAGATTTTATTTATTTATTTGAGAGAGATTGAGAATGAGAGAGAGCATGAGAGGAGAGAGGTCAGCTGGAGAAGCAGACTCCTTGCTGAGCAGGGAGCCCAATATGGGACTTGATCCTGGGACTCCAGGATAATGACCTGAGCTGAAGGCAGTTGCTTATCCAACTAAGCCACCCAGGTGCCCCGGGAGAATCTTAAGCAGGCTTCACGTCCAGTGTGGAGCCTGATTTGGGGTTCAGTCTCACAACCCTGAGATCATGATGTGAGCCAAAATCAAGAGTTGGACATCTAACTGAGCTACCTAGGTGCCCCTTTTATGGCTTTATAAAAGATCTTTTATATGTTTCTCTATTGAAAGATTTTAATAAAAAGAAAAACTTACCTAAACGGTGAAGTTATAAAAAATGTTCAGTATTTTGAAACAGGTTGAAGTTATATATGATTTCAAAGTTATCTGTTAAGTATTTCCCTGGCTGCCATTGGAGTTTTTGCGTATTCATCTGAAATGGTATGGGTAAGTTAGAGTTAACTATTAGTAGAGGGCTTAAATTCTTTCCTGTTTCAGTGACTCTTAGATACCTCGTCTTGAAACACTTTTTCATATACACGGCCACCTCTTGTTTAACGGCTCATGTTTATAAGACATTAGAAGTCATCCAGCCCAATCAAATTTGAAGGTCATCTGGTCTTGACTTGTCATGATTCATGTCATTTACTGATATTTCTCCTTTGTCTCCCCTCTAATATTTGTCTGTAAAGTCATCTGAGTGTTTATCTTTGTACTGTTAAATATGCTTCTGCTTCTGAATACTTGTTTTGCCAGCTTTTAAATGGTGTTCTTTGAGTCCCACCTGTGTTAGTTTCCCATGGCTGCCATAGCAAAGTGCCACAAACTGGGTAGTTTAACACAACAGAAAGCTATTACCTCATACTCTGTAGGCAAGAAGTTCAGGGCCATGTTTTCTCTGAAGCTTTTTAGGGGAGGGGCGCCTGGCTGGCTCAGTTGATAGAGCATGTAACTCTGATCCCTGGATTGTGAGTTCCAGCCCCTTGTTGGGTGTAGAGATCACTTACAAATAAAAAAAATCTTTAGACTAAAGCTTTTAGGGGAGGACCCTTCCTTACCTCTTTCAGCTTCTGATGGTTGTAGGCGTCCATTGGTTTCTAGATGAATTACTCTAATCTCTGCGTCTGCATTCACAGTGGATCAAGGGTCCAGCTTCTTCCACTATGACCTCATTTTAACTAATTACATCTGCAGTGACCCCATTTCCAAATAAAGTCACATTCTTAAGTATTGGGGATTAATACTTTAACGTACGTTTTTTTGAAAACACAGCTCAACCCATAATAGCCTCTATCACCAATGAGACAATTAGGGAGCTTATTCTCATGTTCTTTCCCTTTCTGCTTTTTTCTTTTTTAGTTACATAATTTCTGCATTGGCATTTCATTTGCATTTTGATTCATCACTGTATCCTACACTTGTTTAGTTTTTATTCTGTAGTTAGATACATTCTTTTCTAGCCATCAGGTGTTTCCTCTCTCTCCACTGAGGGAAGTCGGTCCTGTGGTAGTTTGCTGAGACAACAGAGGGAACAGTACTCGTTAGGCTCTTTTATGTTCCACAGTTAACCTGTGGCTTTTGTAATGAAAGCATAGCATGGCTTTGTTTAAAATCTTTGGCTTACGTTTTCCTCCCCTAAGTCTTTTGTAGGAATTGCTTTACTGTTTCTGTGGAATGTAGGAGGGAAATCTGAGGCACCCCACTTCTTTCTGCCTCAGACCTGGTCTTTTTGTAAGCTTATGCCAGAGATGCTCTCTTTCAAGTCTAGTTTAATTTTATTAGGCTGTATCTCTGTGTTGACTTTTCGTGGTTATTTTGTTGCATCATACAGTATACCCTTCAATATGGGAATTCAAGCATTTATTTATTGAAGGAAAATTTGCTCCAGCCCTTTACTGCCCCCAGAACTCTAGTGATGCATATGTGGGATCTATTTTGCTTGACAACTGCATTTATTTTCTCTTTAATCCTTTAGGAACTTATTACTGTGGAAAAATTATAGATCACAGGAAGTTACAAAGGTATTATAGAGGGATTCCCATATCCACTTAAATCAGTTTCCCCTAGTGGTTACATCTCTCATAATTATAGCAGGGTGTCATCACCAGAAACTTGTCGTGGGAACAGTGAATGTGTGGGTAGAATTTGGTGTCATTTTATCACAGGTGTGAATTCATGTAACCGCCACCACAATCAGAGACACAGAACTTCACCACCACCACAATGCTCTGGCTCTTTCTTAATTTCTCTTTCATCTTATTTGCATTTCACATTTTTGATCTCTGCATTCCTTGCAGTGTTTTCTGGAGTGTCTCCTTTCCTGTGCGTACTTTACAGTTTTCATCTTGTTTTCTGTGGTTTTGATATTTTTTAATTACATATGAAGGCATTTAATAAAAACTATTAGTACTCTCATATAAAGCCTTACATTATTATTTTTTTCCATCACACTGCCCTTGGTCAGAGACAGAATGCTGGCTGGCTGGTCTTATTACTCTTGGACTCACCTGATTGATTGATTGATTGATTGATTTTTTTGGTCCTTCTAAGAAAATATACTTATCTATTATGTATAGGAAATATACCTTAGGGGAATACTAATGTTTCTCATGAACTTGCTGTATGTTCAGATACTTTGAATGAGGGTGTCATATTTAACCTTTTCTAAAGTGACCATGGAATTGGTAAGCTTTCGCCACGTGGGTAAGCTAACCAGGCACCTGCAACCCCAGTTCTTAGTGTGGGGCAACACAACAGGACTTAAAAAGAAAAGGCCAATTTAGAAGAGGGTAAGGGTGCTCTGAATTAAAATCGCAGGGGAAGATGCAGTGAGAGTGAGGGAGTGTTGCTGAGTTGCGCAGCGTACGTGTTTTACTCCCATAGCCACCAAAGCAAATACTAGTTGAGATCTCTTCATCACTCCCTGGCATGTAGATTAATCCATAAATCATTTGGGGGTGTGGTTTAGCCTACTAGAGTGCTTACTGTCAGATTTTTGGCCCACTCCTAACCCAGTTTTAGGATTTCGCAGTATGCATTGTTGTATTTTATTTTTACTGTTGTATAATTAACATACAGTAAAATACACACATCTTAGGGGTTTCATTCAGTGGGTTTCTGACACTTACACCTATTTAAACATTACCATCTAGAATATATAAAACATGTACGTCCCTCCATTAACAATCCTTTGCCTTTTTCTTTTATTTTTTTTTTTTTTAAGATTTTATTTATTTGAGAGAGAGAGAGCACGAGAGGGGCGAGGGGCAGAGGGAAAAGCCGACTCCCCGCTGAGCAGAGGGCCCAATGTGGGACCCGATCCTGGGACTCCAGGATCGTGACCTGAGCCGAAGGCAGTTGCTTAACAACTGAGCCACCCAGGTGCCCCCTTTGCCTTTTTCAAGTCAATTCTCCTCCTTCCCCACTCCCACCCTGCCACCCAGTTGTATCATGATAGTTTAGTTTTTGTTATTATATTTCATATGAGTGGAATCATACATTTTTCTGTGTCTAGCTGCCAACGCTTTGACTTGTTTCTGAGATTTATCCTGTGGTTGCCTGTACCAGTAGCTCCTCTTGTGCATTGCTGTGTAGCACTCCCATCATGTGACTGTCACGGTGCTGTGTATCTGTTCTCCTGGGGCAGAGTATGCATTTTCATCTAAGCCTCATTTCCAGCTCTGTTTTAGCTTCCTGCTACAGCTTTCTCTTTTTTTCCTTGTCAACTTCAAATGCCTGTGTCAGTTTCTTCGTTGATTTTCCTGAATTGTGGTAAACTCTGTATACATAGTTATTTCTTCAGCGGAGGAAGTTTTGTTTTCTGTTACTTTTGATTGTTGACCATGTTCCATCAATTCTCTCTTCCTCTTGAGAACCTTGATTTCCCATTAGTTGACACTCCATTTTCTGGTCATTTATGACGATTTTCTTTTCCCTAATTTTCGTTTCTTTATACATTTACTCTGTACCGTGGGGTAGTGGCTCAGGTGTTTATCATCTGCATCACTGATCTTCTGTAGCATCAGTTAGGCTTGTTATTGCTGCCAACATCAACTTTGGTTTTGTGTTCATTTATTTTTATTGAAGTTCTCCTTGTACCTTTTTAATATGGTAAAATGAGTGTGATTTTTTTTTTTGAGTGTGATATTTTTATTCTTTTTCTCTAGTTTCTACTAACTTGTATTGCATTAAGGTTTTCTTGTTGTTGTTGTTTTTATAGACTATTTATTTGAGAGAGACAGAGAGCGTGAGTGCCTGAGTCAGGGGTGGGATAGAGGGAGAGGGAGAAGCAGGCTCCCCGCTGAGCAGGGAGCCCAATGTGAGGCGCCATCCCAGGACCACAAGATCATGACCTGAGCTGAAGGCAGACCCTTAACCAACCGAGCCACCCAGGTGCCCCTGTTTGTTTTTTTTTTTTTTAAGATTTTATTTATTTATTTCACAGAAAGAACACAAGTAGGCAGAGAGGTAGGCAGAGGGAGAGGGAGAAAGAGGCTCTCCGCTGAGCAGAGAGCCCGATGCGGGGCTCGATCCCAGGACCCTGGGATCATGACCTGAGCCTAAGGCAGACACTTAACGACTGAGCCACCCAGGTGCTCTTTTGTGTTTTGTTTTAATATTTATTATAGCTATACTGTTGGCCAGAATTTTTCTATCTTCAGTGGCAACCTTTTCTTGGTGAGTGTACTTTTTATCTGGTAAGTTTTGCTGCTCATTAGCATTCCTGTTAGCTAGTCTTCCAGCTGGTTTCCAGCAGGTCCATAGAGCTGATTTAGACCTTCTAGTTCCAGAACTGCCTTTCTATCTCTTTGTGGCTGGCACCTTGGCAGCTTTGGGATTCCTTTGAAGTTTGACATCTTAGCTAAAATTTCTGTATTACCATGTTTTCATTCTTTTAGAAGGGGAGGGGCAGAAGGAGAGGGAAAGAATCTTAAGCAGTCGCCACACCCAGCACAGAGCCTGACCCAGGGCTGGATCTCACAATCCTGAGATCATGACCTGCTGAAATCAAGAGTTGGACACTTAACTGACTAAGCCACACAGGCTTCTCTGTTTCCAAGTGTTCTTACAGTTCACTTCTCATTATTTGAGAAAATACACCCAAAATGCATTTGTTCCTTTCAATCAAAGGAACTAGACTAGGAATGCCGAGGTGGCTTAGTTAGTTAAGCATCTGCCATCAGGTCAGGTCATGATCTCAGGGTCCTGGGATGGAGCTCTGCATTGGGCTCCCTGCTCAGCAGGGAGTCTGCTTCTCCCTCTCCCTCTACCCCTCCTCCCTGCTTGCTCTCTCTTGTCTCTCAAATAAATAAATAAAAATCGTTTAAAAAAAAAAAAGGAACTAGAGTAATGCAGCACATCACCCTAGTAACCCAGAACTTTTTTCATGTTGTATCATGGTATGTGTGTGTGTGTGTGTGTGTGTGTGTGTGCACGCGCACACGTGTGCTTGTGCATGTGCATGTGTGTACATGCATATAGGAGCCCATGTGGGTGCCTGTCATGCAGAAGCTGAAATAGGCCTGAAGCAATTTGGTTAATATTCTGTGACCATTGGTTAGAAATTCACTAACTAGTTTTTTGTCAATACCATTGTCTCAACTTGAGGCTTTCCAAAGATCCAGAATTCAAAATGGGGTTTTCTCTCTATGTGATGCCCAGCTTAGTATTCTGAACTTTGTGCAAAAAAAAAAAAAAGAAGTGATGGGGTAAAATTCAGTCCAGTAAGAGCTGAACTGAAACAACAGGGCCGAGTGTGCTTGCAGTAGGTGCCACAGCTGCTGTCCTCAGCAGTTGTTCCTCTTCAGTGGGGCTCTGCTGCTTCGTCTCTCTCCTTGCATCGGGCTGACCTGTACCTGGGATGGGTATTGGCTAACAGAACATGGCATGTGTATTAGGTAGATGTGGGATCTTTTCATATTTATTGCTTTCGAATCTTTTTTTTTTTTTTTTAATGCCACGAACATCTTTCTGAGTCAAAGGATAGTACTTAACAGCATGATTTAAAATAGCTGAATAGGGTTTTACTGTATGTTTGTGCCATAGCCTAATTTCTCGCACATTTTTAAGACGTATCCTTTTGGCAGAGTCTTTATAATTAGCATTGATTTTTTTTTTCCTTAGGATTAGTTCCTAGGTTTGGAATGTCTGAGTCACAGTGCTGTGATGTGCATTGCTTAATTGCTCAGTCAGCAGGCGCTCCATTTCATATTCCACTTAGCAGTGTATGGCTCGTCCTGTTTCTTTGAACTTATGTACATGATTCTTTGTTTTCATCTGTGCTCCTTCAGGGCAGGAACTTTTGAAGGCTTGGCTCATTGCTTTATATCAGGTATTCGATAAATGTTTATCAAATGAATAGCTAACATTATTAATGTGACTGTATCTGAAGTTTATTAATAAAAATGCCACAGCCTTTTTCTATTATAAGAGTTTACCAGGTACTTCACTCAACAGGACTATGAGTTATAATTTTAGATAATTAAGAGTACAATTGTTGAGTTACCATACATGGCAGCAAGAACAGAGACTATAGATTAACAAGCTCGTAGGCAAGCAGAAATGGCTTTTTTTTGTTAGCATAGATAAAGGAATGGAAAACTAATCACAAGTTGTTCTCCTTTTCAGGTGTGTTTTAGAGTCTTTTGATTCAGCAGCTCATCCAAAACCCCCCTCTGAGGGTGAGTCATCTCAGATGGTGTGTCCACAAGCGAGTGTGAGTAGGCTGACTTATGTGTCTGAACAGGACAGCTCCTGTCCCACTGCGGCCTCAGATCCTGGCCTTGAGGGCTACAAGGTGGGCAGCATTTCTGTTATTTCTTTAGTAAGGCTTATGGCTTTGAAGTTAGTGATTGTAGGAGTTAGACTGAAGTTGAGGCCTTTGTAATTTCTCTTGCTGTTTTAACTTTAAAATTGTGTGTGTGTGTGTGTGTGTGTGTGTGTGTGTGTTTTGATCAAATAGCTACTCATGCTGAGGAGGCAGAAGTACAGCTATTTTAATCTTTAAGTCTGATGGAGGACACTTGCCAGGCATGCTGGAATGAAGTGTGCTGTGATCCACCTGTGCTGTGGGATCCAGAGGGAGCTAACTATAAATCTGAGTGGACTTAGTGATGGTTCAACAAAGGTTATCGGGGGGGGATAAGCAATACAGCGAAGGCATATTCTGTGAGAAGGAAGCAAACAAACAAACGAGGGAAGAGATGGAGTTGTAAAACGCACACTGCATTTGAAGGACCTCTGTAAGTCTGGAATGGCTACAGTGAATTGTACATGGGACAAGGAGGAGAGGCCGAACCACGAAGAGTCTTAGATGTAAAATTTGGGAGTTCAGAGACCCTTAAGCAGGGCACTGACATGATTTGATTTGTGTTAATGTTTTATTTTTTATTTTTATTTTCCTAAGATTTTATTTATTTGAGAGAGAGAGAGAGAGAGAGAGCGCGCAAGCCATGGTTGGAGAGCAAGGCAAAGGGAGGGAAGAAGCAGGTTTCCCACTCAGCAGGGAGCCTGATGCAGGGCTCTGTCCTAGGACCCTGGGATCAGGACCTGAGCCCAACGCAGACGTTTAACCCACTGAGCCACCCATGCACCCCTTTGTAGATTTTTTAAAAGCTCATGGCACTAGCAGTGTGGAGGGGGCACTGAGCAGGTGTGAGATTAAAACCAGGAGAATTTGACACAGGGCTGCTGTAGTCAGGCAAGAGATGTTGTGGGCTTGGATTAAGGTGCAGTGGGGGTGGGAGAGAAGCAGGTAGATCCAAGAGATTATGTGGGAGAAGCTAGACTTTTATTATCTACGTGTATGTGTGTTGAGAATAGGATAGTATTCAGTTTTTGAATGAGCTAAATATGACTGTTGTGTTCAATACAGTCCTCCTCCACCAAGCCCTTAGTAAATATATCCACTAGAGTTACTATATATATGGTGTCACATTGGACAAATCATTGAAAGCCATCTTTTTGATGATGGTGGTAAATGTTGGGTCTCTTTGTTCTTAGCTTAGTGGTTATAGGCTAAGTTGTAGAGTTAGATGGGTTCTCCTCGCTGTTTTCTAAGATAGACTGTAACTTCCCCAAGCCCGTTTCTTCATCGGTATGGACGGACAGTGATGTGAGAACAGTGCTTGGCACCGAGAAGTTACCACTAAATACTTACTGGCTGTTATTTATTTTTATTGACTGCTGGGTTGATGATGTCTAGTAAATAACCTGGTCTTTTTTTATTAATGTCTGTTTCTATGTGGTCTAAGAGAAATTTTCAAACCAAGTTTGGAGAATCATTAAGTGCATCTTAACTTACATGTAAATTCCAGCTGGTCCATCCTGCAGAGTTGTAAGCGTCGCTCCTAAGGTGATGCCTTATAATGAAGTGAGCACATGAACATTGACTGCGGCTGTTACTTCTTACCTAAGAAAACAACTGCTTCATCTTAGGCACTGACAAGACTTAGTGCTCATAGAAATTGGCGTCTTCAAGCATAACAGTGGTATAAACAAACACCAGGGGTGGGAAAGCCTGTGACCTGCATAGATTCTTCCTGACCTTGTGTCGATTTCATTTGAGAGCTTGCTTAGCCTCCACGCCTGTGTTATTAATTTAATTATATTTTTATTGTACAGCTGCCAGGAAAACAATCCCTTAAATTTGAATGGAAGTACTTGTCGCTGGTCCTTTATTTATGTAAATTTGTTAGAGATGTAATTGGTATGTAGCTCCTCTTTAATCTCCTCATAATTTCTGTGAAGCAGTAACTTAACACTTTCTAACTTTTAATCTTGAGTTACACAGCTGTAAAAAGTTGGCCTTTTTTCCAGAGAGCTCATGTTGTGTAGATCTCTTCTTTGAGTTTATATCAGCATGGTTTGAATTAGTAAGTTTGTGGATTATTTAACATTTTTTGTCACACACAGAGTGATGTCACCAGTAAATTGAGCGCCACGATTATTCAAGCCAGTCTAATTCCATCAGAGGAGCAGGCTATGGAAAAGCTGAGAGAAAAAGGTCCATGTCAAAGTAGAAGTAAAGTAGCACCATCGTATAATCAGAAAAACTCAGATACAGACAATGTGACTGAAACAACTTCTCTGAGTAGCAAACCTGAAGATGTAAAACCTTACTCTAGGCTGAATAAAGATCTTTCCTCCAGGAGTGGAGACCTATCAGAAACCGGTACAGTAGGGTTGACCTCTAACCCCAGTGAACTGGACCAGATCAGCCTGGCTCTACAGAGCAAGTCAGGTTTCACCCACCCAATTGTGTCAGCGATGCCACACCACCCTGTGTCACACCAGGCATCTGTGAACAAAGGTGAAAGAGTAGCCTCTGAAGATACGCTGACTGCCGACAGTGCAGTAAGTGGCCAGATTCCTCATCGGATGGCCCCTGGACACCAGGGAACCCCTCTTCCCAGCACTCTGTCTTGTGGCTCTGCTCCTGAGATGCAGAACGTGCCCAGCGCAGTTCCTACACTCTTGACTCAACATTCTTTTACCGCAGCTCCCTTTGCCCAGCAGTATTTGGGAACACTACCTTCAGCTGGAAATGTTGCTTTGCCCCAGTGCCGCGCTGGCAGTGCCACTGTCTGTGGGTTCTTGGGAAGCTGTCCGTATCCACCTGTCACAGGAGAGCATGTTCAGAATTCTGTGGCCATGGGAATTTGTCTAGGACAAAATATTGGCTCTGGGTTGATGGGTCCCTCTTCCCTTTATAACCCATATCCTAATGCCTTAAATCAGAATCTTCTAAGTACCGCAAAACCTTTTCCTGTGCAGTCTGTTGGTACAAATTGTGGAATTGAACCGTGGGATTCAGGAATGCTGTCAGGATTTGGTAAGATGCTTTTTCTCTGTTATTGCTTATTGTTGCTTGCTATTATTGAAAAATTGAGTTTTCTCAAACAAGGCCACAAAACGATTTTGTTTCAAGGACATACTGGTTGTTCTGAATTTCTCTTCATTTTATTCTTTGTCCTAAACTGAGAACACAGACCATAATACATTTCCATGTGAGGGTCCCTGACATGGCCTTAGAAAAACACAAATACTTATGCAGGTAAACTCCCTAGTGCCTTTGTCTTCCTGTCTCTCCTGTACTCTGTGCTTAGATTTCTGTTCCTCTTTCAACTAGCAACCACCCAGTTTAGAATTGGCTCCCTGGAGGAGTGAGTCTCCTTCCACTTTTTAAAGTCCTTTGAGGGATGACAGTTGTGAGAGACAGAGCCCTTCCACTCTTATCTGCAGTGGCTGAACTGGTTCTTTCGCTAGATTCTTTCGCTAGAGACGGCCACTCTAAGCAGAGCTGGGTGCTGTGCTTCCCTGATGCAGTGCACACGGCCACTGGCATGCGGTCTTCCTCTCTACCATCTTTTCTTCTCGAGGAAATTCCAAAGTTTCTGCATAAGGATGGTGAAAAGATTGGTCTTACTAAAATTCTGTGTAGATGTACACACCTTGAAAGAGCCTTCTGTAAGTTTTTTATTAGGTTAGGTAGTGGCTTGTATTTGTGGGAGAAAAAGGGAAGAGATTACTAATAGGCAGTCACATCGAAGAATTGATCAGCTGCAGATTGTGGGTTTGATCAGTTCTTTCAGTTTGTTCTTTCTGGGCTGGATACAACAGGAGAAAATTGTTGGCCTGTGCTGAGGCTTATACAATGTCAAGGACTCCTTAAGGCCCAGGGCACTTCATACCATAGCTCTTGGGTGTCAACAGGTAGTCTTCTGTAAAAATTTCCATTTAGCCAGTTGTGCTTTTAATCAGGTGTTTGGTGTAACCTGCATTTGACCATGCTTTGTCTTTGCCTAGGGAAGGTCAGAGTACCTGAGGAATTGAAGTTTCCTCATGCTTGCTGTGTTGGCATTGCTTCGCAGACCTTCTTGAGTGTACTTAACCCGACTGACCGCTGGCTGCAGGTCAGCATTGGGGTTCTCACCGTTAGTGTTAATGGTGAAAAGGTAAGCTTTTTGTGTCTTTCTCCTGTGACTTAGCAGTTGCGTTACAATTAATGCTGGATCTCTCTCTAGTACTTCCTTTTATACAGGGGAGTCTCCCCCCCCATCCTTGTATGTCTTGCACAGAATCATTGCAATGATATATGAAAGAATAACATTATATCTTTTTCTTAGCCCCCCATTTTATTGTAGTACATCCAGTGTAAGAATTGAAATCTCTTTGTTTCTCTTTTTTCTATCAGTTATTTATCTTTATATTTTGTTATTTATTCATCAAACTGTGTAAATGCACTTTTACTGCTATTTAAACCACTGAATGCTCTGATTTCTACTGTTTGTTGGTTTTGTTAAATGTGATCAAATATAAGTTACTGACATTTATCAAAAAAGTTACTCTTGGGACCTATACCCTCATTCAGTAAGTGGAGTCTTTTTGACTAATTTATCTGACCATGTTCTTAACATGCTCTTTTTAAATACCTGCAGGGGCACCTGGGTGGCTCAGTGGGTTAAGCCTCTGCCTTCAGCTCAGGTCATGATCCCAGGGTCCTGGGATCGAGCCCCGCATCGGGCTCTCTGCTCGGCGGGGAGCCTGCTTCCCCCTCTCTCTCTGCCTGCCTCTCTGCCTACTTGTGATCTGTGTCTGTTAAATAAATAAATAAAATCTTTAAATACCTGGAAATACAGTTTTAACGTGAACTCTTCCAGCAATGGTCTCTCACATGATCAGCTAGAGGTGCTAAAGGACACGATTCTAAATCTCCTTTCATGATTACAGTGACCTATGTGGCCATGAGGGAGCAGGGAGGGTGGGAAATATGGTCAACAACTTCCGTTTTGGAATATCCTGGTTTTGCAACTGCTGCTTGTAGTGAGCGTTGGTGTATGAGTTTACTTTCCCTCTTACCTCCTGGTAATAACCCTTATTTACCTGGGAAAGTAAGATTGTGTCTGCTTTCCCTCTTCCTAGCCTTTCCTCTCTGATCCTGAGGTTAGGTGGAATGTATGTGATTGGAGCAAAGCGTTAACAGTGAGAGGTGAGCTTGGAGGCCCTTTTAGGGGCACTTAGGAAGTAGTGTGCTTCTGGACCTGGGAGTAGAAAAGAATGCCCTAGTGTACAGTGAGGAGGGAGGGGTTGAAGTGAGTCATAACCATGCACTTGGAGGCCTGGTTAGGACCTGAGAGGTCAGTCTAAGACCCCTGATTGTACAGTTGCAAAAGCCATTCCTAGACAATGTGTGGGGTGCCAGAGTACTGCTCCAGGGGCTCTTTCAGTGCAAGTGAGAGTGTAGATAGCTGTGTTTACTTTAAAACAGACCAGGGAATACACATTCAACTGAGCTCCATAAGTCTTCATAATTTCGGCTAATTGTACTTTACAGATAATGAGTTACAAGACTCGGATATTTTGGAAGAGTAATAAATTTTTGGATTTGATAGTTCAGGAAGAAAGGGATCTTAGACTAGTTGACCCTAATTCTTGATTTTCCTTGTGAAGCCATTTCTTAATGAACTATGTGGCTTTTTTTTTTAGGTGGATCTTTCAGCGTATCCTTGTTTAGTCTTCAAGAATAAAGTCATCATAAGACCTCATGCCACGGAAGAGATAAAAGTACTTTTCATACCATCCGATCCTGGGATTTTCAGATGTATATTCAGTGTTGCTTCTTGGCCGTTTTCAGCAGATGCTGAGACCATAGCACAGGCAGACGCCTTGGCAAGTCGAGTCATTCTCACGGCTGTTGCCGAGACCCCTGTGATCGAGGTAAATGCTTGTAAGCAGGTCTTTGTCATCATGCCTGGCCTTTGAATGAAGGTTGTTACTTGGGAAAAGTGAATATGGGGTTAAATAGCTTTTAAGCTAACCATTGGTTCTTCAGATCTTCTTATTTTATAATTTAAAATTATTTCTGTTATTTTACAGAAACACAGATATACTTGCTAGATGTGGGTGTTAGTTTGGGATGTTCTTAAGTCACTAGACATACTGGGTTGTTTATTTTAAAGGAGACTAAGAAAGGTAACCACATCAGTGATTATCCCTGGTGCTGTATGTAAACGTTGGATGTTATTTATTAGCCTTTTCTTATTTTTTAAATTTTTAAAAGATTTATTCATTTACGTAATCTCTGTACCCAATGTGGGGCTCAGACTCACAACCCCTGAGATCAAAAGTTGCTGCTCCACCAACTGAGCCAGCCAGGTGCCCCATATTACCTGTTTAAATATCACTTTAAGAAACAACACAGTAAGTGGTTAGGGGAAATCTTGTATATATGTATATAGGGAAAATAAGAACAGCTGCCCTATGTTATAGGAATGAGTGTTTCAGTTTGGAATAATGTTCAGTGACCACATCACATACGGATTTAAAAACTGTTTTGATGTTAGTTTTAAATGTTTGATGTTAGTTTTTTTTTTTTTTTTTTTAAGATTTTATTTATTTATTTGACAGACAGAAATCACAAGTAGGCAAAGAGGCAGGCAGAGAGAGAGGGGGAAGCAGGCTCCCTGCTAAGCAGGGAGCCTGATGTGGGGCTCTATCCCAGGACCCCGGGATCATGACCTGAGCTGAAGGCAGAGGCTTTAACCCACTGAGCTACCCAGGTACCCTGATGTTAGTTTTAAATGGACATGAAGAAAAAGCTGGAAGACGGCTCAGTGTCTCTAGCGATGAAGAAGCCACCAGTGTTGACAGTTTTGCCAGAGGTTGAGTACAGTTGTTTTCTCCCTGGAGTACTTCTCCCACACACTGCATACCATACTGTCGCTTTGTCCAGATGTCACCTCACACTGTTGATAGAATGGCAGTCCTCACCTGTCCCCTCATCCCCACATGCCCAGTTCCCTTTCTCTCACTTTACTTTTCTGCTTAGCATCTTCATCAGTGACATACTAAATACCTGTCTATCATTTGGTCTTCCTTGCCTCCACTAGTGTAAGCTCTTTGCGGGGTAGGATGTGTGTCTTTTCTTCACTTCCAGAATAGTGCTTGGCACATAGTAGGGGCTCAAGTAATAGTTGAACTGTTGCTTCAAATAGAAGTAGAAATAGCAGTATTTCTAAACATGTATGGTTTTTGAAATATTACATATTGCATATATGTGTACCAAGACCAATGAATATAGTCAGTTGGCTGTTTCATCCATATGGTTAAAGGTTTATGTATTAAGTCTGGCCAGAGAAGACTTTGGATAGTTTCTTGGGGAAATTGGATTGTTATGCAATTTAAAGTACATTTATAGTTTCTCTGGGTTTATTTTTGAGATTTATTTTTATTTTTAGAGAGAGAGAAAGCACATGCACGAGTGGGGGGAGGGGTGGAGGGAGAGGGAGAGAATTTCAGGTAGACTCTGCTTAATGCCGAGCCTGATGTGGGGCTTGATCTCAAGACCCTGAGATTATGACCTGAGCTGAAACCAAGAGTTGGACGCTTAACCAACTGAGCTACCCAGGCGCCCCTAAAGTACATTTATAGTTTACAAATGTGTCGGGAATGTTTCAGCTGCCTCTCGCTATTGTACTCCCCACATTGGAGTCAGAATACAGGTTGGGGAGAGGGAAAAGGAGTGAGAGATTCCATAGTGTAGTATGTGTTTGATTTATGTTAATGTTTCTTGTGGGCTTGAAAAGAATGGCTTGCTCTTCTTTCTCTTGAGTGGAGAAATTCTTTCACATATCCTTTAGCTCTGATTTATTACTATTGTGGTTCCAGTCTTCTGTATCATTACTAATGTTTCTGTGTACTTTGTCTTTTGGCCTCTGAGAGAGGTGTTTGTGGATTTGTCTCTTTCTCCTTATAATTATTCAATTTATTTATGTCTTGTGTATTCTGAGCTCTGTTGTTATGTGAATTGTTATGTGTTGTGTGAAATTGTTCCTTTTTAAAATAAAAATTGTCTTTAATCCTTCTTTTATATTAGTTTGGAAGTTATGGGTTTCTATTCCCTTTTTATTCAAATTGGTTACTCAGGTATAAAATTAATCAAGAGCTCTGTTCTAGCCCAAACAGCTCAAAAACCTATAGTCAGTATTTTAGTATTCATCTTTTCCTTCTGTAATATCTTTAATACTTTAGTCCCAAACCATTTTAAAACCCCAGCATTGAGCTTTTTTTAACAGATTGATCAAGCTATGCATTTTTTTTTTGCTCATTATTGTTTCTTGAATCTTATATTTTTACCTTTTTCACAGACTCTATTATCTGTATTTAAAGTGTACTTATTTTATAATTAATCCAGATTATTTCTAGTTGCTCAGCTGCTGATTCTTCCACTAGTTTTGCTAGGTCTTCCCGATTACTTTCTTCATGTGGTTTCTGATTTTTGAATTGATAATTTAAATTGTTTATTTTTATTTATTTATTAAAGCTTTTATTTATTTATTTACGGAGAGAGAGAGCACAAGCAGGGGGAGCTGCAGGCAGAGGGAGAAGCAGGCTCCTCGCTGAGCAAAGAGCCCACTGCGGAACTTGATCCCAGGACCCTGGGATCATAACCTGAGCCGAAGGCAAATGCTTAACCGACTGAGCCACCCAGGTGTCCCTAGTAATTTAAATTTTTAAAATGTGGGTTCTTGTCACGGAGGCTGCTCTCTGCTATAGAAATCCCGTGTGTCCATGGAGAGTACTCTGTATAAATGCTGGGGGCTCTAGAGGTTTCATTGATTTTCAGCTTGGAGCTCCCATGCCTAGTGTGGTATAGGCCTGGGGTTTTACTTTCCTACAAATGATCTTCTAACACACACCCATCTCTGGACAAACTTCCCTGATATCACCTCAGACATGTAAACAGAATTTTTCCAAGTCCCTTTTCATAAAAAGGACACTTCTTTGAATCTCTGCATTTGATGCAGGGAGCTCAAATTCCATCCTAGCCTAACCCTGCCCATAACAAGCTCAGAGTCCTACCTTCTGTTCTCAGGAGGGTGTTGAAGCTCAGCTACCTTGGGAACGGGTTGATCCCAGACCTTCATGGAAGTCCGCTCCCATTTGTTTTTCCATGTCTGTTTTTTATTTCCTTTTGCATTTGACCAGGCTAAAGAAATTTATGTATATTTTAAATATTATCCAACATTTCTACACATGTGGGTGTGAGGGGTCTATGTTAGGTTGTTCTCCAGTGTTTAAAGAAGTCGTCTGTCATGATGACAGGCACTCATTTTAAACTTTTGATATATCTATTTTGATATCATTTTAAACATTTTCAGTTTTGTCAGAAATTTGGACTAAATCTGAAAATGTCAACATATATTTAGAAGGCAATTGAAAAGTTAAAATTGTATAATAATAAGCTCATAGCTTTTTGAAGGGAAGCTTATATATTTTATAAAATTGTCAGTTTGTCTTAAGATCTAACAGTCATTTCAAAGTAGCAACAACAAACGTATAGCTTTGTTCTATAGTTTATATTTGGATACATAGACTACCTCAAAAAAAAAAAACTTAATGTTTATTTTTGTAGAAAATAGCAGCTGTAAATGGCCTAGGGAAACTTAAGTAAGTTTACATTTAATGCTGACTATTTGTGGCTGTAAAGAGTAGTGACATGAATATAAGCTGTGGTATATATTGATTTATTGCTTTTTAGAAATCAGTATTTTCTTTCATAATTAGGTAGAAACAGAAAAGAAAGATGTTCTTGATTTTGGCGACTTGACTTATGGTGGCTGGAAGGCTCTGCCATTAAAATTGATAAACAAGACTCATGCCACTGTGCCCATCAGACTTGTTATTAATGCTGTAAGTACGAACATACAATAAGAAACTTTACAGAGCACATTTATTTGGCATTGTAGACACTCCTGATAGCATTCTTGATTAATTTTTCTTACGGAAGTAAATTTTTTGATTAAGGATTCTGTCAACAGATTTAACATTTAACATCACACCACCATTGTACTGTTGGCTTTATAGAAACTGATTCTCCTATTTCTGAACAGAATGCCATAGCCTGGCGCTGCTTCACGTTTTCCAAGGCACCCATCCATGCTTCTTTGAAAGCTGCTCCATATGCCGACGTGATTGCTCAGCTGGCAGCTCCTTCTGTGGTCAACCACATGATGCCTGCCGCTTATGACGGACAGGTAAGATGGCTTAGAATTAAAGAGGAAGTTAAGGTTCCAGATAGCTTATCTTTCATTAAGACTTAAATCTTAATGCTATAATGTAAATTTATTTTGTTTTATTTTATTTTATAGGATCCAGAATTTCTGATAATTTGGGTTCTTTTCCATAGTCCAAAGAAACGGATCACTTCTTCAGGTATCGTGTATGTTTTTTGGGAATTGCTTTACTCTGGCTAAATAAACCACAAAGTTGAGGCATATTTCCTCCATCAATAAATATGAATACTTTGAGTAATTTGTCAAATATTTTATGTTGTTTTTAAAATGGGGCAGAGAGCGTGCATGCTGTTTCGGGTCAAACCCACGTATGGGTAACCCCAGTAAGTACCACTGAAAACTTTTTGGGATCTTTTCTGTTCACTGATTTTATCACATCTACCAGTTGGATGTTTCTTTCTTTCTCTCCTTTCCCTTCCACTCATTTCTGTTCCTTTAAGAAGGAACAGAGGGGCACCTGGGTGGTTCAGTGGGTTAAGCCTCTGCCTTCGGTTCAGGTCATGATCTCAGGGTCCTGAGATTGAGCCCCATATCGGGCTCTCTGCTCAGCAGGGAGTCTGCTTCCCTCCCCCACCCCACTTTCTCTGCCTGCCTCTCTGCCTGCTTGTGATCTCTGTCTGCAAATAAATAGATAAAATCTTTTTAAAAAAAGAAGGAACACGGGGCGCCTGGGTGGCTCAGTGGGTTAAAGCCTCTGCCTTCAGCTCAGGTCATGATCCCAGGGTCCTGGGATCGAGCCCCGCATCGGGCTCTCTGCTCTGCAGGAGCCTGCTTCCTCCTCTCTCTCTCTGCCTGCCTCTCTGCATACTTGTGATCTCGGTCTGTCAAATAAAAAAAAAAAATTAAAAAAAAAAAAAAAAAAAAAAAAAAGAAGGAACAGAAAGACATCTTGCTTAGAATTTCTTGTGGCCCCTGAGGGGATAAAGTTGGACCACAGGAGGCACTTAGAATGAAATACCTCTCTGGTCTCTGAACTGAAAGAATGAACTTTTACAGAGATTTTAGACTCAGCAGAAGAGTTCTTGGCAAGAGTCGATATAGAAGTTGACAGCCCAAACCCTACTCCAGTCATTAAAAGTATTGGTCTTCAAGCAAGAACAGGAATAGCTAGGATACATGCTCCAAAAGACTTACAGGTACCCTAAACTCTTCTCGTTGCCATGATTTTATGTTCAGGTTGATTTCATTCTAATTGTGACATTATTTAAAATGTCGGTTTTACCCCATCCTCCAGACTATGCACTTGTTTGCCAGTGTGGCTTCCTCAACAAAGCAGCACTTACCTTTGAAAAATGCGGGGAATATTGATGTTTACTTAGACATCAAGGTAAGGATTTGTGTCAGAATGCTATGACATAGTATTTCCTCAGACTGTGAGACTGTATCTCCTCACATTCTGAAGGCTGCTCAGCTGCCTCCATTGGCAGAGTGCCATGGGGATCAAATGGAAGAACGCGTGTGAGTGTTTTAAAAGCCGGGGGCTACACTAGTATGAAATAGATGGTGGGGTACTGTAACTTTGACATCTGCTGTTTTATGTATAAGAACCAAGTTCTAGATTAGTTCTGGAAAAATGTATGTGTTATCCTAGTGGATAGGTGGAATTGGAGGAGAGTGATCACATATGTAGACTTCAGTTCTGAAACGGGTCAGTGAGCAAGAGGGTATCAGTGACAGGAATCTCTTGGGATGTCATGGGATGGGAGATGAAGTTTGTTATGGAAGAGAAAGCGCCCTTTCCAAGAGAATAAGACAAGATGGGGCAGTGACAAGACAGAAGGGAAAAATAACCTATCAGAGTAAATGAAAAATGAGAGTAACTGAGTAAAAGCCGTATTTGCCCAAGTCGGCATTTAGTTATAATTGTATAAATATTTAGATCCCAGATCAAGGAAGTCACTTTTCAGTGGATCCAGAGAATCTATTCCTTAAACCTGGAGAAGAACACGAAGTTATAGTTACCTTTACTCCAAAGGACCCCAAAGCCTGTGAGGAAAGGTAATAAAAAATTCTTTATAATGACAAGTTTTTACTCTTCTCTCAAAATAGCCATGTGCTTCAGTCCACAGCCTGAGTGACAGAGTACATGTTTTATCACACCTAATAGATAGTATAGTTCTCTTTACCCTCTTTTTGCCTCAGATTTTCTTCTTTTTGTTTACTAAAACTCTCTTTTAAACCAGCTGACTAGAAATTAAGAAATTACTATTTTTCAAATATATTCTGACAAAAGTAAATAATAAAATGTCAGTCTTGATGTTTCTCTTTAACCTTTCCTTGCTCTCCAAGGGAACCATTGTCAGTTGTTAAAGGTGCTTCCCTACCCACCACCCCTTCTCCAGTCTTGTGACATTTTGGTGCCCAGATCATAAGTGAATATTACCTGATAGTGGGCAGAGCACCATTGTCCTTAGTATTTGAACTTGCTTGGTAAACAGAGCTTAGAAGTATGTTGTCCTGAGATATAATGGCCTGTCCTCCACCTGGGTTGTAGAATGCTTTAGTGTGCTCAGTCCGCCCCTGTGACCTTATGGAGAAGAGCTGGCCTGCGCAGATGGGACTGCTTGTCTCTGGAACGTGCGCCTGCAACATCACTGGGTTAATTCTTTCATCTAAGAAGGTTTCCTCAACTCTTCTCAAACGCCTCATTAATAGTAGTTGGTAATATTCCTATGGCCCCATGAACGTCCCCTCTCCCATTATGTAGAGGTTGTGACTGTCTCTTTCCTTGTCTGTTCCTCTCTGGAATACAAGCTCAGGGTGGGAATGTCCTTGTATCCTCAGCACCCATTCAGTCTCTTGGGACAGAGGAAGCGTGTGGGGAATAGACGCCAGTAGAATTGAATTCTGGACATTGAACTTAGATGGTTTTCTTTGTTAGGATCCTGAAAATATTCGTGCAGCCATTTGGACCTCAGTATGAAGTGGTGTTAAAAGGTGAAGTAGTTTCTTCGGGAGATAAACCTCTGGCACCTGGCTCTTGCTGCTCAGATGTTCCAGCGATTTTGTCCAACAAGCAATTTCTGGCCTGGGGGGGTGTTCCTCTCGGTAGAACTCAGTAAGTATGCACGTAGCAGCCTCTGCACGTGGAGATTCTGCTGTCAGCACCTAGTGTTAGTCTCTGCTGTAATAATTTTGACCACGTTTATGTTTTTAGAGTTGAAATAAAGCTGTCTTATCTTCCTATCATGAATGCAGATGTTTTCATTAAAATTTTGACCTCTGCAGTCCAGAAAAATACATTTCAGTTTTCTTTAGTTCTTTTCTCTGCTGATTACCAAATTTAGGCTATTAAGAGTTTCTTTGTTCCTTCTCTGGAAAGCCATATGGAAAGGTAGGAAGGAAAAATAATCAGAGACCTGGCATTCTGCTTAAGGAGTTCACAAAGTAGTTGGTGAATACTTCGTACTTTAAAGAGTGTAGGGAGTCTTTAATAGAGCAGATATATTCTGTCATAGCTTAATGTGAATTACATCTTGGATCTTATTTTTATGTGTACTTTGATTATGCATTTTGAATATGAACTCTGAATTAATAAATTGGTATATAATATGTAGTATGGTAATATTTTTTCCCTTCATAAGCTTGGTAACATAGCTAAAAATTTTTTACCAACCTCATATATACCAAGTAATAACCTAGTAATTATTAAACCTCAGTCTTTACTCTTTTATACTTTGTATTTTTGTGTTTGATCTAAAACGCAGTACCTTTTTTTTTTCCCCATACATTTTTTTTTGCACCTGAGAGATCAGAAACTTCTGGCTGAATCTTCTTTAAAATCCGTTTTGTCAGTGCACAAAGGATCTAATTGAACCGCCTTACTTTATAGAGTTCATACATCTGCTTAACCACCCGTGTAGTCATACGTACCTTGTCTTGTTCCAAAAGCAGCTTTCAAAAGGACACAGTAAGATAAAAACAGTTGAGGGCGGACAGCTGTGGGAAAATGAGACGTGGTCACCATAAAGGTAGTGTCCAAAGGTTCACCTGCAAACCCTGTACACTTGCCTTGAAGTGGGTCTTGTGTTCAGTTCTGACTCCTCCCCCATCATCCTGAAACAAGGCACAGTGTTCAGAGGTTAAGAACAAGCCAGTTACTGTGTGAGGGAGTGTGGCTGTTCCTGCTATAGACTTAAGGCATTCCTTCCAGGATCCTTTTAAAGAGAAATCCATACAATATAGTGAGTCTCAAAGTAAAACAGCTTCACAGCAAATACTCCTGTGAGGATGCTCCCCCTTTGAGGTGCTCAGTCCAGTCCGGACGTGTCACATGGGAACACTCAGCTAACAGCGTTTTCTGGGTACTGAAGCATGTGGTGGCTTGTTTGAGACAGCTTAGGCCCCTAGAAGAATGGTGGGCTGTGTATTCTTGAAGCAGCTCTCCGTAAAGATTCTCTCAGCTAGACCTTTGAAAAATCCGGAAGTACTGTGCCCTCTTCAGTTAGCTCCTGTGTTCTTATGTCATATGCTTTTTGCAGCAGTTAAGAAGGAATACACATTGAAAGGAAAGGCTGAACAAGGGCCTGTTTCTCTATAGAAGGCTTTTCCAGTTTTGTACAGTTGAACCTGAACAGCGTCTGTATGCCAGATTTTTCCTTGAAACATTAATTTGTGGTCTGCTCCAATATATAGACAAATAGTGATTGAGACCTTGAAGTTCTGTGCTATTGAAGGTGGCTGAAATAACTTAGCTGTTCAGATCAGCCATTGATGTCTAAGTAAAAGGAAGGGGTTCCAGTACGCCCTGGCAACCACAGGCATTATGACAGTGCAGACTCTGGCGAGCATCAGTTACTCTGTGTCTCTGTTGACAGACAGCTTATTCTATTATTGCTCTTTCCTTTAACCAAAGGCAGAAGAGAGCTCAGTAAGAGTCATCATCATCCTTGTGTTGTTCTTGACAGAATTCCCTGCCTTCTGATAAAATTTGTAGCAAATGATTAATGTGGTAAAAATGGCTGCTCTTAAAATCTAGCTGCTCCAGATGCTGTAACATCCTAAAATCTTACAGCTCATGTGAAACAAAATTAATGTGTGCTAAACTTTTTTTTTTTTTTTTTTTTTTCAGATAAGAAATTCCATTAGTGAGGTTGAAAATGGGGGCACTGTCTTATGCATACTTCTAGACTTGTCAGTGGCATTTTTTCTCTGGCTCTCTCCTGAGTGAAGGGACTTCAGGCTGTCCTCTTTTATTTCTCCAATTCCCTTCCTCATGGAGATTCATGGTCCACCTTCTAATCCAACAGATATAAGTGTAAGCCCCATGCCAGCACAGGGAATTGACCTGAAGAGCTGTCATGTCCCCTGTTTATAGTTGATTAGGTGTCTTAACTCAGCTTGGAGGAGCTTGCCAGTCATATGAAAAGGAGACTACCTTAGTCCTTGGATGCTACGCCACATGATGGCTGAAAGTGGTCTTGTTGAAAGCAGTAGATCCTTTGGATCTATCTTACAAAGGATAGATCCTTTGTAAGGATGCTGCAGCAGAGTTTATGATGAAGTGGTGTACTGTCTGCTTAGAAAGAGATCATTTTCTGTCCATTAGAAATGTCCTAGGAAACAGTCAGAGGGCTGTGACCCAGTGGGTGCTAGGAGAGGACTCAGAAACAGGGTGGGAGACGCTGGTGCCTACTAGGTGCCCTTCTGATGTGGTACTTGCCTGTTCTCTGCCTGTCTTTGTGGAGGAAGGTGCTTGTTGCAAAATGGAGATTTGAAGGGAGCTCTTCTAGAGTAAAGAGGGGAAAATTCATGTATAATGTGGGGGCACAGTGTTCTCATTGAGTAATGCGTTTTGCTTCAGTTATAGATAGAAATGATAATTAATAAAATTATATTTTCTAAGGGTAAAGTGGTCCAAAGTGGTATTTCATTCCAGTGTTTTTGGATTTTTGAAGTTCTGCATTTTTCCATATATTCATTCATTCAGTCATTCATTCTAGTTTCTCTCTCATAAGTCTGCATCTATACTTCGGTTATTTGTTGGTTAGGATTTAGTATTTTTTTCTTACTAATTTGTGTGGACCCTATATATAAAGAAGTTAACCCTTTTTTATTTTGTGTAGTTCCTTTTTAAAACTAGAAACTGAATTCCCCCTTCCCCAGATTGGTAACTCTACTACTTGAAAATGATAACCACGTTTCTTTAAAAAGAGATAAAACATAAAAGCTTTTAAAGAATTATTTTTTTCAGTAAATCTCTCCTAGTCAGTATGAATGTTTTTCTTGGGTATGCTGATAGCAGAAGGTCTTGCATTTTATTCTGAGGTTAAGCTTAGCACCCTTTCCCCTTTATCCCAAGTTGGACAAGACATAGACCACAGTTTAAATAATGTAACTGCCATTATTCAGAATTTGAATAAAATGGAGACTTACTAATGATTTTCTATTCTCCCAATGAAGAGGATTCATGTATTTTCAAAGATTGAAGGAGTTTTTTTGTTTTTTTTTTAAACCACCAGCAAGCTGTTATTCATAGTCTATTGTACTTGCATATCACAACGTTTTAAAAGTATGGTTAATTCAATGTACTGTTTAAAAGACTAATTTGTGCAAATGAGGCTCTTAGAGTGAAACATCTAAGTGGTGTGCCTGGGACTCTGTTCGCATGAAAGCTAGGAATTCAAGCTAAGCATAGTATTGACTTAGCAACTTAATTTGTTAATCTGGTTTTTCATTTGATTGTTTTACAAGACAGCTAAGGCTTCTATGTGTAGTGTAAATAACAAGGTCCGCTAAGGAGCTATAATAGGAGAATGATTAAACCCAAAGAGCTTCTTTGACAAAGAGGAATGTTTTGAGTATGTTTTCAGAATTGTGGCATCTTAGGACTGTGGAGATACCTTTCCAGGCTGCTAATAAAGTAGTGTATGTAATCCAGCCCATCTCTAAACATTGCAGTCGGTTTTAATTGGCTTTGGTTTTATAGTTGTAGCAGTATCCATGGAGGGAAACTACATTTACAATGTGTAATTGTTTCTAGGCTTCAGAAGCTAGCTTTACGCAATAATTGTACATCTACAACCCAACATCTGCGACTGCTCATCAGAGGACAAGACCAGGACTGCTTTCAGGTTGGTCGAGTGCCTGGTGCTGTTCCATGTTCTTTTAGACCACTTACATGTGCAGACCATTGGGTGGTGCTTCATCTTTGAAGCTTTGGGTTGGTTGATGATAGTTTTATTTGGACTCCTGCTTTTGTTGTATGCAGTGATTGTTTTAAATTATAGCTTCAGCACACTTTTGGTTCAGAAGAACGACTAACCAGTAACTGTGAGATCAGAATGCGTCCAAAAGAAGACATTCACATCTCTGTGTTATTTGCACCTACTCGATTATCTTGTATGTTGGCTAAACTAGAAATTAAACAACTGGGAATTCGATCACAACCAGGCATTAAGTTCACGGTAAGATGATTTTATTGCTTTTTTTTTCCTCCCTTGGAGTTTCTTACATGTTGTAACTCTTAGTTTAATATTGGTAAATTATGTATACTCTGCTTTTTGTAAGTCAGAATAGGTGATTGTCTTGCTTTACAAACAAGTTACGAAGTAATTAATGTACTTTGTACAAGTGTTGTGTTATGAGAGTAGTCTCCATAGTATTCCTATAGGAAACCATCTCTTCTTGTGCCTTTAAGTTTCATTTCAGCTTGAGAATTTTGAAGTGTACCCAACAGGAACACATTTTTTGGTAAAACCAGATCAAATTGTTTAATATACTACTTTTCCAAGTAAATTGTATTCTTTCAATTCAGCAACATATCTATTGACACCATTTACTAGACTCATCCGGAACTAGGGATACAAAGACGAGAGTTTTTTTTTTTTTTTTTAATTTTATTTTTTATAAACATATAATATATTTTTATCCCCAGGGGTACAGGTCTGTGAATCGCCAGGTTTACACACTTCACAGCACTCACCATAGCACATACCCTCCCCAATGTCCATAATCCCACCCCCCCAACCCCCCTTCCCCCATTAACCCTCAGTTTGTTTTGTGAGATTAAGAGTCACTTATGGTTTGTCTCCCTCCCAATCCCATCTTGTTTCATTTACTCTTCTCCTACCCCCTTAACCCCCCATGTTGCATCTCCTCTCCCTCATATCAGGGAGATCATATGATAGTTGTCTTTCTCCGATTGACTTATTTCGCTAAGCATGATACCCTCTAGTTCCATCCACGTCGTCGCAAATGGCAAGATTTCATTTCTTTTGATGGCTGCATAGTATTCCATTGTGTATATATACCACATCTTCTTTATCCATTCGTCTGTTGATGGACATCTAGGTTCTTTCCATAGTTTGGCTATTGTAGACATTGCTGCTATCAACATTCAGGTGCACGTGCCCCTTCGGATCACTACGTTTGTATCTTTAGGGTAAATACCCAGCAGTGCAATTGCTGGGTCATAGGGTAGTTCTATTTTCAACATTTTGAGGAACCTCCATGCTGTTTTCCAGAGTGGTTGCATCAGCTTGCATTCCCACCAACAGTGTAGGAGGGTTTCCCTTTCTCCGCATCCTTGCCAGCATCTGTCATTTCCTGACTTGTTAATTTTAGCCATTCTGACTGGTGTGAGGTGGTATCTCATTGTGGTTTTGATTTGTATTTCCCTGATGCTGAGTGATGTGGAGCACTTTTTCATGTGTCTGTTGGCCATCTGGATGTCTTCTTTGCAGAAATGTCTGTTCATGTCCTCTGCCCATTTCTTGATTGGATTATTTGTTCTTTGGGTGTTGAGTTTGCTAAGTTCTTTATAGATTTTGGACACTAGCTCTTTATCCGATATGTCATTTGCAAATATCTTCTCCCATTCTGTCAGTTGTCTTTTGGTTTTGTTAACTGTTTCCTTTGCTGTGCAAAAGCTTTTGATCTTGATGAAATCCCAATAGTTCATTTTTGCCCTCGCTCCCTTGCCTTTGGCGATGTTCCTAGGAAGATGTTGCTGCGGCTGAGGTCGAAGAGGTTGCTGCCTGTGTTCTCCTCAAGGATTTTGATGGATTCCTTTCTCACATTGAGATCCTTCATCCATTTTGAGTCTATTTTCGTGTGTGGTATAAGGAAATGATCCAATTTCATTTATCTGCATGTGGCTGTCCAATTTTCCCAACACCATTTGTTGAAGAGGCTGTCTTTTTTCCATTGGATATTCTTTCCTGCTTTGTCGAAGATTAGTTGACCATAGAGTTGAGGGTCTATTTCTGGGCTCTCTATTCTGTTCCATTGATCTATGTGTCTGTTTTTGTGCCAGTACCATGCTGTCTTGATGATGACAGCTTTGTAATAGAGCTTGAAGTCTGGAATTGTGATGCCGCCAACTTTGGCTTTCTTTTTCAATATTGCTTTGGCTATTCGAGGTCTTTTCTGGTTCCATATAAATTTTAGGATTATTTGTTCCATTTCTTTGAAAAAAATGGATGGTACTTTGATAGGAATTGCATTAAATGTGTAGATTGCTTTAGGTAGCATAGACATTTTCACAATATTTATTCTTCCAATCCAGGAGCATGGAACATTTTTCCATTTCTTTATGTCTTCCTCAATTTCTTTCATGAGTACTTTATAGTTTTCTGTGTATAGATTCTTAGTCTCTTTGGTTAGATTTATTCCTAGGTATCTTATAGTTTTGGGTGCAATTGTAAATGGGATTGACTCCTTAATTTCTTTTTCTTCTGAAAGACTAGAGCTTTTTATATTTTGTTTCTTCCCAACATAATTTTAAAAAAGGATTTCAACTCATTTTTTTAGATTTATTTAGAGCAGTGAGAGATGAAGTTGGTATATCATTGAGAAAAGGAAAGAAGGACAGGGTAATCAAACACAGTGTACTCCATAAAAGTGCATACCTTAAAACGACCCGGTTTTTGGCTGTGGGGTTGGAACTAAAATGTTGGTCCATTTTCTAGTGCTAGAGAAGGAATGTAATGAATTACAAGATTAGCAGTGCTTAAAAGGTTGTTTTTTTGCTTGTTTGTTTGTTTGTTTTTTGAGAGAGAGAGACTGAACAGTGAGTGAGGATAGGAGGAGGGGCAGCAGGAGAGAGAGAAAGAATCCCAACACAGGGCTCGATCTTAAGACCCTGAGATCATGACCTGAGCCAAAATTAAGAGCTGGATGCTTCACTTACTGAGCCACCCAGGCACCCCTGAAATGGTTTTTTAAAACAGTAGATCTTTATGGCAAATCTAGCTTTTTTTGATGCTGAAGCTTGACATACTCTCTGTGGAGCTCTCACCTTGGCCCCATGAGCTGTGGTGGGCAAAATTGTTTAAAGATGTAAGTGGTCAGGTGCCTGGCTGGCTCAGTCAGTAGAGCATGTGACTCTTGATCTTGGGATTCTGAGTTTTAGACCCACGTTGGGGGTAGGATTTACTTAATTTAAAAAAAAAACAAAACAAAATATGTAAGTGTTGTCTTTAGGAAGAAATCCTTCTACATGAGCCGAGGACACAGTGCCAGAGTACCACATAACCTGATGGTCTGGTTTCAAGTCAGAATCAGGTGGTTTGTGGAGAGGACTACATGGGCAAGCCAATACCAATTTATAAGGTCCCTAATTTAATTTTTCAAAACGTTAAGTGTATAACACAACTCAAAATAAGCTATTGATATTTTCAAGTTTGCAAGACATTCTTTGGAACACATTTTACTTTATTTTTTAAAAGATTTTATTTATTTATTTGAGAGAGAGAGAGAGCATGGATGGGGGGAAGGGGCAGAAGGGGAGGAAGAGGCAGACTCCCCTCTGAGCAGGGAGCCTGAGCAGGTTCTTGCAGGACCCCAAGACCATGATCTGAGCAGATGGCAGACTTTTAATCAACTGAGCCATCCAGGCGCCTCTGAAACACAGTTTAATAATTAGGAATGATAGATCACTTTTAAAGGAGTGCATTTTTTTTTTAAAGATTTTTTATTTATTTGTTTGACAGAGATCACAAGTAGGCAGAGAGGTAGGCAGAGAGAGAGAGAAGGGGAAGCAGGCTCCCTGCTGAGCAGAGATCCCAATATGGGGCTTGATCCCAGGACCTTGGGATTATGACCTGAGCCAAAGGCAGAGGCTTTAAACCACTGAGCCACTAAACCACTGTGCCCGAGGAGTGCATTTTTTTGAAAATTATTTTATTAAAGATTTTATTTATTTATTTATTTATTTATTTATTTATTTATTTATTTGAGAGAGATTCTGGGCTCAATCTCAGGACCCAGAGATCATGACCTGAGCCAAAGGCAGATACTTAACTGACTGAGCTACCCATGTACTCCTGTTTATTTATTTTAGAGAGAGAGATAGAGCACATGTGTGTGTGAGCTGGGGCAAGGGAACAGGAGAGAGAGGATCTCAGGCAGGCTCCCGCTGAGCTAGGAGCTCCATTCCAGGATCCTCAGATCATGACCTGAGCCAAAATAGTTGGATGCTTAATAAACCAAGCCACCCAGGTGCCACTTAAAGGAGTGCATTTTAAAGGATATGGAAAGTTTGTTTTCCAGCACCATATCTATTTTCTTACATTTTTATTTATAGTCTTTATTTTTGAATCCTTGTTTCCTGATAGTGCTGAACCCTGTGGAAGCAGCCTGGCTTAGAGACCACACTGGTTGGTCCCTAAAGCCTGCCTCTAGTCTGCATTCTGGCTACCAGGGGGTCTGTCCTCTGGGAGTTGAGTTCTTGGCTTCTGTTCGGTCCCTTTGGCACACTTCTTTTCTCATGCTGGTAGATCAAAAGCTAACAGGAGTATAGAACAATAGATTTTGTTTCACTAACACATTTCATTTTCAAAATTGATAATTATTGGGAAGTTGGAAGAATTATATGGTGAACCCTCACATACCCTACCATTTAGATTCTACAGTAACATTTTGCTGTATTTCTTTGATCACATATCTCACCATCCATCAATTTGTCTCTTTTTTTTTAAGCATTTCAAAGTAAATTACAGACATCAGTATGTTTCACCCTAAACACTTCTTAAGCAAGTTTATCTATACTAATCTTTTATTCCTTAATCATGTAAGCTTGGCTTGTATAACAATGAAATAATTTAGCATACCTAAAAATTGGAAGGTAAATAATTTTGCAACTCTTTGATTTGTTTTTGTCCTAAGAGAAGTTCTTTAATGTAATGCTGGACTGGAATTGAGGTAACTAGCCAAAGTACACAAAAAATAATAGTTGTGAGGGTTTTTTTTTTCCTGTCTATAATTTAATCTTCTTTCTGCTTACATAAAAAATAATTTTGGATATATGTATTTTCTGCTTATAGATACCTTTGTCTGGATATGGAGGAACAAGTAATCTTATTTTGGAAGATGTTAAAAAGTTATCTGACAGTTACATGGTAACAGTGAATGACTTAATACCTGGCAAAGAAAGTAAAATTGTTTTTTCTGTTCATAACACTGGCTCTCGGGCAGCTTTTGTTAAAGCAGTAGGTTTTAAGGATTCTCAGAAAAAAGTTTTGCTGGATCCTAAAGTTTTAAGGATTTTTCCAGATAAATTTGTGCTCAAAGAAAAATCACGAGAAGTAAGTATAAGTCTCTGCACTAAAAATATTGGACTCATTTTTAGGTTAAATTAAGAATTATGTATTTTATGGCTAAAAACTAGTATTTGAGAGTAATGAAGGAATGGGAATACCTGATCTTCCTAGAAATTCTGTCATGTGCATCCATGTGTATTGACTGTTTAGGCTCATATGATAGTTAACTCACAATGAAATGACTTAAGAAAAATATTTAATATTCAACTCATGATTTTTTTTTCCTTGGCATCAGGATGTTACTATAATATATAACCCATCAGTCAGGGAGAGCAATTATACAACCACAACAGAACTGTCAACTATATACTTCTTTGGTGGCGATGAAATTTCAAGACAGCAGTATCGAAGGTAGGTTATTTATCTTAGATGATGTTGGAAACTCTTCAGTAGCAATAATGAAAGCTTAAAAATGGTTTGGGATTTGAAAGTAATAGAACATGCTCAGCTACTTATTAGTAAACCAGTGGCTGAAAAAATCTTGGTAAAATTTGTACCGCTGGTAGTCCACTAGGATAGTCTAATTTATGAGGAAGAAATGCGTGTAGGAAACCCATCTGCCATATTTGCATTATGCCTTCTTTTCTAGACGTATATATTGTGCTTCTTCTCCTTTACGCAAATAGGAACCTTAGACTTCATAATAGGATGGTGTTCCTAATGATGATAGGTCAATTTTAGAACAGATTTAGGAACTACTGAAAGAATATATTGTGTATAAACACACCTTACTTATTTGTAGTATTTCTGGGAGTGTTGTGAATTATTTGAAAGGATTAAGTTGTACTTAGAAATGTTGTACTTTTCTAAGTTGTACTTAGAAAAGGAATAAGTTGTACTTAGAAAGTTGTACTTAGAAATACCCTTAAAAAGGGTATTTAACGTGACTAGCTTAACGCATGTGCTTCTAGAAAATTTGGTACTTCTAAATATACTTTAATACACAAAAATATCAAATTTAGACATTTCGATTTAGGTGTGATTTAAACATAGGTAACTTTTTGCATGGTGAATTCAAGAGTTCTTGCATTATAAAATTTTATTTCCTAGCCTACAGGGCCTGAATATAAAATAAGTGAAGCTCATAACATTTCATCTGTCAGTAGGAAATCATTCACTCCCAGTAGGAGAGTGTTACATGAGTATACCAGTATTTCCTTCATCCAACCCTTTGTGCTCTGCTTTGTGTTATTCTGATACATAATTTAGGAAATCGTTTTATTTTTAATCTGTTGAGGATTGTTGGACCCTTTAAAAAGAGACTTGAATGATAGGTAGCTGCATGATGTTAGAATAGACCCAATGTAAAGAGCTCAACCTTGAACCTGGTTTTGTTTCTCAATTAAGTATTTTAAATATAGAAACTGGCATTTGGAGAAATTAAATTACAGGTTTGAGGTTTTTTTCCCCCTTTATCTCTACTGGGATATAGAAATGAGCATATTGTTTTAGAACTCCTCTTTGCCACATATACATAGTAATGAGATTTCTTTTGTTTGTGAACATCTGAGTATTACAGAGAAATTTACATTTCTGTTCTCTTACCTCAGAGATTCTTTAGAAGAGGTCAGGTAAAATACAGTCACATGGCAATTTAAACGTCTCTCTCTGACAACTCTTACTCATATCATGTTCTTGCCATATTCTTTTCTTTCCTGAGACAGATTTCTAACTATGATCAAATTCATACAAATATTGAAAATGTAAGACCTGAAAAGAAACTAATTTCACTCTTCTTTCTACCCTCATTTTAGGGAGCTCTTGTTTTAATGTTAATATTTCACTGAAAGTGATGACTGTACTACCATGTATAACTTTGAAAGGAACTTCCAAAATAGATTTTCTTTTAAAAATTACTTATATTAGAATTTAAGACATGAGATCTATATATCAATGCATTATGCATGCTGTTTGTGAGATTTGCCAAATACACTAATGAAAATCTAATTTATGTAAAATCATTTTTGAATAAAAATCTCTATTGGCAGAGCCCTATCTCATAAACCAGGGATTATAGAACAAGTACTTCCAGAACATAGTGTGCTGCAGCACGTTGATTTTGCGGAAAAATTTCAGGATGAGTTACTAGTAACTGAAGGTAAGAATTTCAACATGTCTAACTACTACAAATGACTCAAAAGATTTATCTAGGTCCAGTGATGTGTTATAGGGTGGAGGAGTATTAGATTATGGAGTCAGGCTGAGTTTGAGCCCCATTTCTGCTGTATGACTCTGGACGTCACTGAGCTCGTTTCCTTTTTTCGGAAATGAAAGCTATAATACCTAACTTCTCATCCATAAGGAATTGTGAAAATAAAATGAGAGAGCTTTGCTTTATAAATGTTGGATATTATTAATGCATTATGGCACCTATTCTATGGATAGACTTATAAACTGGAGGAGAATGGTCATTATTAAACTCAAAGTAATTACTATTTAAGGTTTAATGATGCAAACTTGAGCTTATTTTGAGATTTCTGTGTGATGTGATGTGACAGTGGGGAAAAAAATCCAAAATAGACAGCTGTGGAATAATTCCAACCTAGATTTTTTGCTGTATTTGAGCTGAATCATTTAAGCATCTAATGGTGTTTATTACTGTTAAAAAATATATGTACTGAGACATACAAATTGTGTAAAGATGGACAGATTTTTGCCACAGTGTTGTTCATAACAGCAGGAAATCAGAAGTAACTTAAATGTCCAAGAATAGGGCATTGTTTAATTATGTAATAGAATATGTTGAAGCTGTTAAAACAGTATGATTCTATATTAAATGACAAGAGAAATCTCTTAATTAAGAAAAACTGTTTTAAAGTTTACATATTAAGATCTCATGGTAAAAATAATTTAATGTGTCTGTATACAGCTATGTAGGTAAATTGCAGGAGTATACACACCAACTATTGACAGTGGTTATGTTCTGGTAGTAGGATTTCAGGTGGTAGTGGTTTTTTCCCCCCCATTTTTGTTACTTAGTTTTTTGTTTTTGTTTTTTTTTTTTTTTTTTTTTAAAGATTTTTTATTTTATTTATTTGACAGAGAGAGATCACAAGCAGACAAAGAGGCAGGCAGAGAGAGAGAGAGAGGGAAGCAGGCTCCCCGCTGAGCAGAGCCCAATGTGGGACTCGATCCCAGGACCCTGAGATCATGACCTGAGCCAAAGGCAGTGGCTTAACCCACTGAGCCACCCAGGCGCCCTGTTACTTAGTTTTTTAATGGTAAAATATATATTACTTCTAAAATATGAAATGATAAAGGGATATTTATGCCTATGTAGAGGTGATGTAGAATAGTCTGTGATCTTTTTGGTAATTAGGAGTCTAGATCATCTACTCAAAGGGAAGGTACGGGGGGATTAGTTAAAAAAAAAAGTGAAAATATTTGAAATGGATCTTGTCAGCAGTGTGTTAAGGGAGCCGAATATGGAAAGAACCTTGGATTTGGAATTGAAACAGTTTAAAGCCATGTCTGTCACTTTATCTCCTCTGAGCTTTACCTTCCTCCTCCCTTCATCGTAAGAAAGATCTCAATAAATAAAGGAGTTAAACTGAATTATACTTTGTAGACAGAAGCACTTAGTAACATACTACAACAGTCCTGAATACTGTGGTTAAAAGTAGGTAGATGAGTTTTTGGTGGTTCAGAAGTTGGCACAGTCGCATGATTCGGCAACATTTCATTTATTGATTGAATGGACATGTACTGAGAGTGGAGGGTGCCAGACTGTAGAGGTGAAAGATGCAGTCCTTGCCCTTTAGGTTCTTACAGACTGAGGGGAAGACAGGTGATTAATGTGTGGTATGAAAAGGGCCATGATGGATGTGTGTTTAGGAATCTGGAGAATATAGGGATGCCTCCGTGGCTCGGTTGAGTGTCTGCCTTTGGCTCAGATCATGATCTCAGGTTCCTGGGATCAAGTCCCACATTGGACTCACTGTTCAGCAGAGAGTCTGCTTCTCCCTCCCACTCTGTGTTCTCTCTCCTTCTCCTGCATTCTTTCAAATAAATAAATAAAATCTTTAAAAAAAAAAGGAATCTGGAGAATGTAGAGAAAGAGTACCCCATTTAAAATGAGGTGACGCTTGAAGTATCTTGAAGAATGAGAAGTTGACAAGATGCAGAAGGTAGGGACCACAATGGGGAAGGATAGTCCAAAGAGATTTGCATGTACAGAAATTCAAGAAATGTGTTATGTTAAGGGTCATGTTGACAAACCCAACCAAGAGCTCAAGTAACGTGTCAAGACTTCCATCTAAGATGGGGTTGAGTTGGGACTTGAGGTAGGTCTTTGGGACACCAGAGTACTAGATTCCTTGAGATGATATAATTATTGTCCAGAGGAAAGGAGGAACCAATCCCACTTTGTCTTGTGTTGGTTAGTATAGTAGATCACCTGTGAAAATGTTGCAGTTGAACTTTTTACATGGTTATTTGAACACATTACCATTACAGATATTTATAATCTTGCTTTTGCAAAATGATACGATTTGCGGCAAATATTTTTGTACTTGATTTAAATTTTTATAGTCCATTATCTTGGTTATTATAAATGTCAATTTACACTTAGTGTGTTCTTTAAAAAAGTTTTTTCATTTAAAAAGTGTAATTCTTGGGGCACCTGGGTGGCTCAGTGGGTTAAAGCCTCTGCCTTCCACTTAGGTCATGATTCCAGGGTCCTGGGATCAAGCCCCGCATTGGGCTCTCTGCTCAGTGGGGAGCCTGCTTCCTCCTCTCTCTCTACCCGTTCCTCTGCCTACTTGTGATCTCCGTCTGTCAAATAAATAAAGTCTTTTAAAAAAATAAAAATAAAAAGTGTAATTTTTTTTTAATATTTTATTTATTTATTTTGACAGACAGAGATCACAAGTAGGCAAAGAGGCAGGCAGAGAGAGAGAGGAGGAAGCAGGCTCCCTGCGGAGCAGAGAGCCCTATGCGGGGCTCGATCCCAGAACCCTGGGATCATGACCTGAGCCGAAGGCAGAGGCTTTAACCCACTGAGCCACCCAGGTGCCCCAAAAGTGTAATTTTTGATGTCCAGCTTATTACTTTTTTTAAGTAGACTCCATGCCCAGCATGGAGCCCAATGTGGGGCTTAAACTCATGACCCTGAGATCAAGATCTGAGCTGAGAACAAGAGTCAGACAGAGGCTTAACCGACTGAGTCACCCAGGCTCCCCTCTTAATGTTTTATTTAAATGTGGAATACAAGAATGTTCTGTAAAATTTCTTGTATATACAAATTTGGGTGGACTAAGCTAGAGATGTTCAACTCTAGCACTATTTTATTAACTGCCAAATTTAGTAGCATTATTTCCGGGTTTCTAGATTTGCTAAAGTTAAATGTCTGTGAGACCACCACTTATAAATTGTATATCCTTAACCTCTTTGTGCTTCAGATTCCTCATCCTTGAAGTAGAGATAATATATACCTACCTCAAAGAGTTGTTGTGAAGGCTGACTAGATTAATATGCACGAAGGGATTAGAACAGTACCTGGCCCACAGTCAGCTTGTTGCATATGGAGTTTTAAGCATATTAATACTCTAATGCTCACAATAACCCCTGAAATGAATTGTTACTTTATATTTATCCTTGAGGAGACTAGGGTTTAGAGAGGTTAAGTTGCCAAATTCAAGGCCAGAGCCTGAGCTGCCTATAATTTCATGCTAGTCAGTAGAGGTAAACATCAATTGTCACTCATCCTCAACCTTCTTAAGAAAATAATATTCTGTGGTGGTTAATGTGTAAGTTTATCTGTTACTTTGTGGTGTGATTATGTGAAGATTCATGTATTTCAAACATTATTTTCTATTTCAGTATATGATCTTCCCCAACGGCCTAATGATATTCAGCTCTTTTATGGAAACATGCGTAAAATTATACTTTCAGTAATTGGAGAATTCAGAGATTCCAGGTCTAGCAGTGAATTCCTTCAGTCTTCTTCCAAAGCTGACTCAGAATCTAAAAGGTAAAACAGACAAACAAAACATCTTTCACCAGATTTCAAGATAATTTAATTCATAGTAGAGCTGATCTTTTCTCTGTACTTTTTTGCCTCCCAAAATGTTTATTTCATCTTTATATTTTAGTTTAAGTTGAAATAATTTCAAATTTGTGGAAGAGTTTAAAAATAGAATATATGCTGCCTCCATTGAGATTCCCCAGTTGCTAACATTTTACCACATTTACCTTATTATTTTATACGTGTATATATATAACTTTTTTCTGAATCATTTGCGGGTATAATGACCACATTGTCCTAAGTTTCCTGAAAACACAGACCTTCTTCTAAATAGCTATAGTAAACCCATCAAAATTAGGACCTTAGTATTGTTAAAGTGCTAAGATCTAGTCCACAGATTCCATGCAAATCCCCCAGTTCCCTAATAAAGTTTTATGTATTTGAATCAAAGAAATAAGCAAGAAATCTCCTCTTTGGTTCTGAGTCTAATCTGAGATCACACCTTACATTTAGTTAGTCTGTCTTCTTTATCCTTTTTCAACATAGAACACTTCCTCAGTCTGGCCACTTTCATGAAAGAAAAGAGGGTTGCATCATCAAACCAGAGCCACAGAATCAATTACCCAGAACTAAGCTTTAGTAATAATTTTAGATGAAAACATGAGGAAATTGGGATTGCTAATGATGCTTTCTAGGCACTTTTTGCAACATTAATACTCTACTCTGACTCTTACTGTCACAAAACAAACTGAGGGTGACCGGCGGGGAGGGGGTTAGGGAGAGGGTGGTGGGGTTATGGACATTGGGGAGGGTATGTGATATGGTGAGTGCTGTGAAGTGTGTAAACCTGGTGATTCACAGACCTGTACCCCTGGGGCTAATAATACATTATATGTTTATAGAAAAATTAAAAAATTAAAAAAAAATACTCTGGTTCAAATTTAACATGAGGTCTCTTAAGTTGTGCATGCGATTATCCGTTGCTTACACAAAAGGGGGAGCTATTTCAGTTACAAAAGCTATTTTATACTTGTGTAATTACATACTTTATGTGATATTTTTTCAAATAACTGTGCCACATAAATTCATAAATTTCAGATTTCTTTACCATAACCAATACTAGACGGACCAGGAATATCCTTTTATAAGCATTCCATAGAAAAGTAAATTAGTGTGTTTGCTGGGAGATGTCATTAGGAAGATCACAGGGAATTTGACCAAGTCATCCTTCTTTTTTTCCTGGGCATTCCCTAGTAAAAAAAGGGGGAAAGGGTGCAGGCAAGCTGCTATAACTGTTTTCTTGCCAGTGACCTTGATGTTTTTGTAGAGTATAGACAGTTACTTTGTAAAATGTCCCTCACACCATGGAAATGATGCTGTTTGTTTTCTCGGTACATTTTCTCAGGTAATGAACAATGCTGATTTGTCCCATTACTAGAAATGTTTGTTTTTATTGCTTAATTAAAATGATGTCTGCCAGTTTCTCCACTATAGTTAATGAATGTCTTAAAGGGAGATCCTTAGAGATAATGAGTATCATATTCCTTTTCACACTTGTAGCACCCCAGTGATGATTATTGCCTGAATCCTGTTAGTATTGTCTTATTTACCAAATGGTGATTTTCTAATTCTGTGTTTCTACGTTTTCTAGTTGTCTTTCACGATGAGGAAGAGATTTACCTTACCCTCTTTTATGTACTTACTTACATCAGGGCAGACTGCTGGATTCAGTATTAATCCTTTACTCTCACCATTTGGTCGCTTAACCTGGCTCATTATTCACTGGCACGATGGATATTCTAGGTTTCATGTATACTTTCCCTGTCCCAGCCCTGGAATAGAAGTCCTGAGTCCTTTTGGTAGAGAATAGTATTAGAAACCAGGATATGAGTAGTAAGTGTGCTGTTGCTTTTCAGGTGTTACTACTTCTAGGACCCCTCAGTGGTCACAGCTAGGAAATACATGTATTTATATATAAATCCCCATGTATCCAAATCCGTTTATAAATATGTTGAAACCATGAGTTTACACTGATATCTCCAGTACTGAGAAACCTGGCTTCAATATCCTCAGTATATTTGGATTTACGCAGTTCTTCTGTTTTTAACCAGTCTTCTCATCACATGGGCTGTCTCCTTGGCACAGTGTTGCCAACTCGTATTGGCTGAGAGTTCTCTGGAAGTTGCAGCCACCAACTGAGGGCTCACACACCTACCTAGTGCCTCCATCTCATTCCAGCTTGCCTTCTTCCCTATATTTAAAAAAACAAAAACCGGAAAACAAAAACCTTATTAGAGTACAACTCATATGCAATATCCTTTTAGTTTCAGTTGTACATCATAGTGATTTGATATTTTTATGCATTATGAGATGGTGCCCACAATGAGTCTAGTTACCGTCTGTCACCATACAAAGTTATTACAATATTATTGACTGTATTCCCTAAGCTGTTTATTACATCCCCATAATTTGTTTATTTTTTAACTAGAAGTTTGTACCTCTTAATCCCCTTCACTTGTTTCACCCATTCCCAGCCCCTCTCCCACCCCCTGAAACCAACAGTTTGTTTCCTGTGTCTAAGATTCTGTTTCTGTTTTGTTTTGTCTGTTCATTCATTTTGTATTTTAGATTCCACATATAAGTGAAATTATTTAGTATTTGTCTTTCTCTCTCTGACTTACTTCACTTACCTTAATACCTTCTAGGTGCATGTTGTCACAAATGGTTAGATTTCATTCTTTTTTATGACTAATATTCCACTGGGCATATAAACCGCATCTTTATCCATTCATCTATCAAGGATATAGGTTGCATCAATATTTTGGCTATTTTAAATAATGCTGCAGTGAATGTGGGGATGCATATATCTCTTCAGATTTGTATTTTCATTTTCTTTGGATAAACACTTAGAGTAGAATTGCTGGATCATATGGTACCTTTACTTTCAGTTTTTTGAGGAACCTCCATACTATTTTCCATAGGGGCTTCACCAGTTTGCATTCCTATCAGCAGTGCACAAGGGTTCCCTTTGCTCTCCATCTTTGCTAGCACTTTTTTGTTGTCTTTGATAATATCCAATTTGAGAGGTGTGAGGTGATTTCCTGTGGTTTTGATGATTAGTAATGTTGAGCATCTTTTCTTTCTTTCTTTTTTTTTTTTTTAAGATTTTTGTTTATTTATTTGACAGAGATCACAAGTAGGCAGAGAGACAGGCAGAGAGAGAGGAGGAAGCAGGCTCCCCTTTTCTTTCTTTTTGAGCATCTTTTCATGTGCCTCTTGGTCATCTGTATGTCTTCTTTGGGAAAATGTCTATTCAAGTCCTCTGCCCATTTTTTAAATCAGGCTATTTCCCTTTTTTGGTACTGAGTTGTATAAGTTCTTTCTGTCATCTGGATATTAACCTTTTATCAGATAAATGATTTGTAAGTAGTTTCAGTAGGTTGCCTTTTCATTTTGTTTTGATGATTCCCTTCACTGTACTAAAGCTAGTATCTCAAATTATTCCAAAAAATAAAAGGAAAGAAGGACTTCTTTTATTACGCCAGCATTAACCTGATATCAAAACCAGGCAGAAACACCTTAGAAAAAGAAAATTACATGTCCTCTCTAACTCCCCTTGTCCTCCATGCTATTTGTTATGCTCCACAAATAAGTGAAACCATATGATAATTGACTCTCTCTGCTTGACTTATTTCACTAGAGAGGAGAAGGGAGTTGAGGGAAATTGGAAGGGGAGGTGAACCGTGAGAGACTATGGACTCTGAAAAACAATCTGAGGGTTTTGAAGGGGTAAGGGGTGAGAAGTTGGGGGAACCAGGTGGTGGGTATTGGAGAGGGCATGGATTGCATGGTGCACTGGGTGTGGTGCAAAAACAATGAATACTGTTATGCTGAAAATAAATTTAAAAAATTAAAAAAAAAAAGAAAATTACATGTCCATATCCTTAATGAACACAGATGTAGAGATACTCAACAAAATATTGGCAGACTGAATTCAACAATATATTAAAAGGATTCCTATGCTTCTAATGATAATTCTCTTCTAAGATATTCAATCAAAGAGTTTAAAATAGTTGTTAAATAGATTAAAAATTATATCAAAAACCACTTAAATTGTGAGGAGCTGGTTTTTAGGAAAATAAACAACCAAGAAGCAGCTCTATAATCTGTAAAAAATTGTTTCTGACTATTAGCTGGTACCTGCATTATATCTCTGTCTCTGGGGCAGTAGAGGTCTGATTGGAAAAGGAGCAGGTGAGAGGGCAATGGGTAATAGGGTGAGGAGAAGATTCTTCTTGTCTGTTGAGTGTCTACTTGAAATAAAGATGGAGCTCTCCTCTATGGTAGGAGAATTTGGGTACCATCCAAGTGAACTTGTTAAATCATATGCTCCTATGATTACAAAATTCATTAGAATTACACAGTTTTTTGTAATCTAAGGCTAAACACTTTTTAACACTTAATAAAAATCTTAAACCTTATCAGCATTTCTTACCTTAGTACTTTGCCCAGAAGACTTTCTTTAATGTTAGCATCATGAAACCAGTTATCATTGTACAGTTATAGATATATTAAGAGTTTTGTTTTTAAAAAATTCTTAATATTGGGTGGTTTTCTCATAAATCTTTTAAGAGACTTCAGATGGCATGCTAAGTCAAGACAGGAAAGAAATTAAATCAGTATTCTAATGAAAGATTAGTAAAACAATATTTGAACTATACTGTATTTTTATACATTACTTTAAGAATACACAGTGAAGGGGTGCCTGGGTGGCTCAGTGGGTTAAGCCTCTGCCTTTGGCTCAGGTCATGATCTCAGGGTCCTGGGATCGAACCCCGCATCAGGTTCTCTGCTTGGTGGGGAGCCTGCTTCCCTCCACCGCCTGTTTGTGATCTCTTTCTCTGTCAAATAAATAAAGAAAATCTTAAAAAAAAAAAAAATACACAGTGAACAATTTTTATTCCATGAAACATACACAGTATATTCCATAATGCACTTTCAGTTTTACCTAAATGTTTTTAGATTTATGAGGAATTAATATAAAAATATGACATGGTCTGGCTTTTTAATCTTTTTTTAAAAGCAGAAATATAATATTTTAATATACAGCTTCTATACAACCAAAAAGTAAAACATTGCGGTAAAATATTGGCAAGAAAACACAGTATTTCATTTACAGTGCATGGCAAATGGTTAACATCCTTAGTCATAAGCTTTTTATTTTTTTATATTTTTTTAAGATTTTATTCATTTATTTGGTAGAGACAACCAGAGAGTGAATACAAGTAGGGGAGCGAGAGAAAGAGAAGCAGGCTTCCCGCTGAGCAGGGAGCATGATATGGGGCTCGATCCCAGGACCTCGGATCTTGACCCGAGTCGAAGGCAGACATGTAATGACTGAGCCACCCAGGCGCCCCAGCTTTTTATCATTTTTAATTTCTTTCCTCTCCCCATCTTTCTTTCTGTTTCTATAGTGAATCTGACGGTCCTGGGAAACATGGTGGCAATGTTTCTTTGGATGTTTTACCAGTTAAGGGTCCTCAAGGTTCTCCACTTCTTTCACAAGCTGTTTGCCCACTCCAAGATAAATCATCCTCTAAGGAAATGTGGACTGTCCAGCCTGAACACTTGATTTTGATGGCCCCCTCTTGTGAGTATATCAGTAACAACACAACAGCAGTGCACTCTGGAAACCAGGGCTGTACTCACTCTGAGCCCATTGCTCATCTAGGAAATATACTTGGAGTGTATACAGATGTGACTAATGGCTTATGCAGGTCCTCCTCTCCCCTACTGAGACCTACCTCACATGCAACCTTTGCATTGTCTAGCACAAGGCCATTGTCCTCATTCCAAGCTTCCAGTTCTCCATCTGGCTGGGCCACTAGTCCATGGGCCCTTTCTCCCACCACATCCCTTGCCCCAAAGATCTCATTTGGTACTTGGCATCTTTTACTTTTCACATTGATATAGTTGCTATAGAGTAGGAATAAATCTGGTACCAATGTATGTGCCCAAGATAAGACCAGATGGTAACAATTTCCAGATGTCCTTTTACCTCTTTGTTCAGTATCATTGTAGTTTAAGAGTAAACACAATGGTTTTATTTTACCAGGGATTTGAAATTCCTATAAAGCAAAATTAAGTTGGTAGACTAATGTATTTAGGATTCTTTTTTACTATTTATTAACATTTGGGTTTTTTTTCACTAATGCTAAATGTAAGTTATATTTTATTTCTCTGATATAATAGGTGATCTGGCAAAAACTGCATGTTTCCAGATTTTAAATAATTCTGTTAGGTTACTGAAATTTGAGTTGTATTGGCCGGCACATTGCCTTACTGTAACACCACAACATGGATTTATCCCACCAGAGTAAGTATGACTTCCCTTCCCTCGAGGTGTTGTTCAGATGTTGGCATGGTGACTTTTGAAGGATTAGATATTATGCCATTTTAATTTATTCAGTAGAATTTTGCCATATGTTCCCCATACAGAGTTCCCTGTGTTTTTGTGGGACCGACCACAGTGAAGTTCAAGATTCATGCTTCTTAGCAAAGTAGAGCCCATGTCCGTGGCCACTTACAGTGTATATAGCCTAAAAGAATTAAGAGATATGAGTGAGGTGGGAAAGATTTCCTGAAGTAGAAAACATCAGATTGTGCGGACATGTTACTCTGCATACCAAATTACAAAGCAGGAGATGCAGCTGGGCAGATGATGAGGGGTGGTGGTCCCTAAAGCCCAGATGGTTCTGTCCTTCATTACCTTGGGTCTGGTTCAACTTATTCTGCTAGTTTTGTCTAACAGACATTTTATAGACAAAGTTTCCTGACTTTTAATATGTCTGAACCATAACCTGGCTGGCCATTTTTTACAAATAATATTCTAAGAAGGAAGTCTTGGGGACCAGATGCTGATAAGCAGTTGTCCTCTCTGTGCAGCTTAATTATTAATAGGAGGTAAAGCTGCACTTCTGCAGCTTTTCAGGGACTTCTTCTGGGTTGGCACAGAACATTCACATCTGCAGGTTGCTTCCTATTTGGGAATGGAAGCTTCGCAGAAGAGCAATATGAAGTTATTTACTTTTGCAAAGTGGTGAAGTATGCATTTTAGAAGAGTTATAGTTGACTAATACTGACCTAAGGTAGGGTTAGGGATACTCCAGAGAAACGTTCGTAGGACCAAAGCAATGAATTAAACATTTACTAATTAATGGTTGAAAAGATAGGGAAATGATAGAACAGATTGTTCACTAATAACTTTTAACATCATCCCACACATTTAGCTGTTAGGAATGGAAAATAATCTTGCTCTGCCATTTTTTTAAAAGATTTTATTTTATTTGAAAGAGAGCATGAACAGTAGGTAAGGGGCAGAGGGAAAGAGAGAAGCAGACTCCCCGCTGAGCAGGGAGCCCAACTCAGTCCTCACTGAGATCGTGAACTGACCTGAAGGCAGATGCTTAACTATCTGAGCCACCCAGGCATGCTTGCTCTGCCATTTTTGACATGTGTGCCAAAGTATCTTTTACAACTTTTTTGTTTCTTCTAAGTCACAAGTCTGATTACATTGTCCACATTTTAAAAGTCATCTTTGACATTCCATAGCTCTTGAAGAGGACAGTGAGCTCAGAAAGTTTTAGCAATTGGATAAAAAAGCAGTCTTTTTCATTTCTTTTCCATCCCCCTCCCTTTTTCTTACAGTTTTCTTTCCTGCTGTTTCATTCTCTGTGTACGGTAACTGTATCATTCTTTGTTATCAGGTGGCTCAGAGCTTTTGTATATTGGTCCTGCGCTCTAGAAATTTTTATTTTGAATTGCTTTTTAAATGGCATTTCTACGATATGGTCTGTTTTCACATGAGTTTTCACCTTAGGTTCATGGGTTTATGCCACTCAACTTTTTGTGAGCCACGAGTTGGGGCTGTTGCAGAATCAGACATGTAGGGGATCTCACCTCTTCTCTGCTCTTTGTGAGCAACAAGAAGAGCTGGGCATTGATAGAAACAGTATTTATAACTTGTGGTTGTTGCTGTTCAAGTATAGGATATTCTTGGTTTTCATTATTAAATTATTTTTTCCAGGAGTAAGCTACAAATTCTTGTGAGTCCTAATTCCTCCTTATCTACAAAACATTCAATGTTCCCATGGAGTGGTTTAATCTATGTACATTCTGACAATGGACAGAAGGTACTTTAAGTGTTTGTTTGTTTTTAAGCAGCATTTTTCCTGTTTTGCAACTTAAGTGTTGTGATCCTTATTAGCATTTACTTTTCAGAAGTGAAATGAAGGGGCCTGTCCTTTCAGCCCGGCTAGACATATTCATATAGAGAGCTTAGCACAGACTTTTTCCGTTAGTGATCTGAACGATTCTCCTGGATGGGGCAGAAATGGAGAGTGGAGCCTAGAAACCACTATTGATTTGTAAAATATGCATTGAAAAAGAAGGGAATTGGGAGAGTCAAAGATTTACTTTGAGATCTGAATAAATTTTCTAATCCATCCATGTTTCATTTGTTTGGCATTACTTTTCTCCACCATGTTTTAAAAATAAGAATTGTTTCTTTAAAATGATAGATCCACTTGTGTCTTACTGCCTAAATTATTTGGCTCATTTCAGAAAATTGTGAAAGTTCAAATTCGAGAAGACTTAACCCAGAAAGAACTCCTTGCTCACTTGGCCACCAGCACATTTGGAATCCTTTCTCCAGGAGCTGAGCCTGCAGTTAGTCATCTGGTGAAACCAGTGACAAAACCACGTTCCACAGAAGTTGAGATAAGAAATAAGACTATTACTTTTCCTGCAACAGAACCTGGTGAAACCTCAGGTGTGGTATCACAAGGTTATATAATTCAAATAACCACGGTTTTGTTGAGTCTAACACTGTTTTTGTGACCTTCATTGCAGTGACAAGGATAATAGTGTCCCCTATTTCAGAAGATACTCAGGTTGTCATTGGCAGTCACTTCAGTCACAGGCCAGATTGGAGGAGCTTAAAAATTATAAAATGTTAAATCTAGGTATTTAAGAACTCTGTGTATTCCGGGAGTCTCAGATTCCACCTGGTCAGAACCATCCCTGCCCAGTTCTCACTGGGTCTTTTACCAGACCTGCTAATTAGTTAGCAGCTGAAGAAGAGGAGAAAGTAGGTAAAACCTGGTTCTGTCCCTCAGTAATGATACTTTGAAGCACTAAAAGAGGTTAGATAGGTACACTCCGTTTCCCCATTTGTAAAATGGCTATCATAGTCTACGACTCTCACGGAGGGCTTTGAGGAGTAAATGAAATAAGGTATTTAAGGCGCTCGGCATAGTGTTTGGCACATAGTAGGTACTCAGTATCGCTAATACTCCTCCAGGGTCCTGTGAACCCTTCTTTTGCTTGCCCCCCCCCTCACCTCCCTGTGATGGCTCAGTCTAAGTGACTGGGGTTGCATGTGGGACTTGTTGGAAAGGGTGTGGGCCTTCTGTCACCTGGCCCTCACTCCCTGTCTCTCTCACTGGCTTTGTCTTCCACGCACACTCAATTTCCACTGCCCGTCAAGCCTGTCCCTCCCTGGTCATCGCCTGTCCGCTCACTCCATCCTCCCTGTTCGCGTCCTCTAGGAGTTTCAGCGGCTCTCTGGCCTCATTCTGATGTCTAGGCCACTGGCCCTACTACCTCCTCACTCGCCCGCACCCCGGTCTTGGCCACTTCTGCTTGAATTCTGTCATCTGTCACTGCAGTTAGTGCCTTAGGAATGCTCTTAACTGCTGTGTGCCCCTCCCTCTGCCTTCCTGCGCGGCAAGATCCTAAGCCAAGTCAGACCCAGCCGCCTCCCAGCTCCGTGTCTCCTGTAGCCGAACCTCGCTGCCAAAGGAAACGTTGGCTGCACCCGCCCGCACATTTGTGGTTTCTGTTCTCAGATGCCACTGGGCACCAGGCTGTTCTAGCAGCCCTCCTTGGTGTGTGTCCTTTCCCGTTTCCTGTAGTCATTCGACAACTTCGCTCTTCATGCCCCTCCCCGGCTCCTGGTTTCTCTTTCCAGCTCTGGATTTTGCCTCACACATCATTGCAAATACAAAAGCCATTAGACTAAATGGGAGGCTTCTGCTTGCATCCCAAATGAATCCTTCTGCCTGGAATCTAGGCCCATCTATTCTTGCCGTCTCAGGGCCTTCCTCTGCCCCTTTCCCTCCTGTGTCCTCAGCTTCTCCCTTTGTTGATGCCTTTCCATTGGCACACAGTACTCTCTGCCATCACGTTGTCTCTGGCATCACGTTGCTATCCATTGTCTAAGGAATGCCTTTCTTGGCCCCACATCTCCTTACTGCTCTCCCTGCTTCCTTGACACCCCTTCCTCATGGAAGGATTGTGCTCCCTGCCTTCATTTCCTCAGGCTGTAGCCAAATTGGTGCTGCCACCTGCCTTGACCCCACTATCAAGGTCACTGAAAAGGGAGTGTCTCCTTGATAGGTCTTTGTTAATTTGACCCCTCAAGGCTGGGGTCAACCACTCCTTCTTCCTTGGACTACTTTCTTGTGCCTCTCCTAGTTTTCCCTGCTTCACAGGCTCCTTCTCAGGTTTCACTGATGACTCTTTTTCTTCCTGGGCCCGCCTGTGTCCCCTTCTTTCTCTTTGCTCTTCCTGCACCCTGCTCAGCTTCTGCCCTGTTGGCATCTCACAAACAGAACTCCTGTTTTACCCATGAAGCCTGTCTCTCCTCCAGCCCTACCCGTGTCTGTAAGTGGCCCTGCTGTCTGCTCATTAAGCCAAATCCCTGGAAGTTATTTGCTTTCTGCTCTCTCCCTCTTCCCACACAGTCCACTAGCAAGTCCTTTGTAGTTCGTGTTCAGAATGGATCCCCTGTCTGCCTGCTCCTTTTCCTCCCACTGCCTTGACTCAAGCCTGATAGACACTACCCCACGTGTCTTCTCTCCATGCAGCTGTTGCTGAGGCGTCTTACCACGGATCCTCGTCCACTCTGACCCCCTTGTGGTCTCTCCTCTCCACAGCAGCCAGTAACTCTTTAAATTAACATGGAAATCATCTTACAGCTCTCTTGCTTAAGCCCTTCATTATCCTTTGATTAAATCCAAAACAAGATATCTGTCAAATTTGATTTTGTTAGAAAATACTGTAAATTCCCATGGGGCTCCTCTGAGGATCTGATGAGTGTACTTTTCCCCTCTGATGAGGTAATTAGTCATTATTATACAGTATCACAGTAATCTGCTTGCTTACTTACATCTCCAAGAATTGTTTGACTTGTGACATATGTGTTCTTGTAGAAAATTTTCTGGAATTTGAAAATCATGGTAACACAGAAGTGAAGTGGCATCTGTCATCCTTAGCTCCACCTTACGTCAAGGTCAGTAATAATTGCCTTAGATATATTTGTTTTAATGTTTAAACTTTATTCAGGGTGTTTTTATGCTGAATTATGAACATAGGTTGAGATTATTGGGGGTTTTTTGGTCCCACTAATTCACTTACTTGATTTTCTCTATAGATGTGCCTAATACATGCCCCATCTTTTTCACAAGATTGTTTTTAGAGTCAGATTAGAAAGTATATTTGGAAATATGTGCTTGCTCATTTAATGCTACCTCCTACAGTCCTGATTTTTATCTGAAAATAACTATTTTGAAAAAACATGAAAGTTTTATTATGGAATATTGTGTGCATGTTAACATGCACGTGCATTTTTCTTTTCCACAGTCTGGGTGCTGTTCCGTGTTTTCAGCCAGTAGGAGCTAGTGTAGGAGACAGGCTCTTTGTCAGTGAGTGCTAGCCGATTCTGTACTGCAGATGGTCTCCAGCAGCGGGCTCTATACCTAAATTGAGCGTGTCATCACCCATGTTGTTTAGAATGCTGTGTCCTTCCTGCCGTGTATTTTGTGTGACAGTGGTAGTTTGGAGCCCTCACACTAACAAAATGTGTGCAAAAATAGTGCTGTATCTACTGAAAAAAAAATAACTGGTATTGCATATGATGTTAAAATGTACATTCAGCAAAGGGTCTTCAGGGTCCTTGAGGAGCAGCCGCCCTTGAACAGGATGAGCACCATCCTAAAGCTGACTAGCCAGGAAGGAGTGGCTGCTGGTGGAAGGAGGGGCGTCAGCATGGGCTTTGTGAGCAGAGTTAAGGAGTGCTCCCACTCCTAGGCGGGCACTGAGCTCTCCTGGCCCCTGCAAAATGGGTTCGTGTGTCCTTGGTAACCATAAAGGTAATGGTGTCACTCTGACTTCTGTTTTTTTCATTTGATTGCTTAAATGATTGTAGGGAGTTGATGACAGTGGAGATGTTTTTAGAGCTACCTATGCAGCATTCATATGTTCTCCTATTTCTGGTATATTGGAAAGCCGTGGAATTCGGAAGGTGAGTTTTGACGTTTTTTTCATAGCCATTGGTAAGAGCATGGTGTCAATTGACCAGGGGACCTTCATTTGTTTCCACCCAGAGTAGCAGCTTCACCTAGACCAGTGTTGCTCTGCTAACAACCAGCTTTCCACAGGAGAAGACCTGCCTCAGTGCATGTCAGTGGGCTGCTTCCTGCAGCAGAGCTCTTGCTTTCTAAATAGCTAAACAAAATGCCATGCTTAATGGTAGGATTGATTTACATTCTGATATAAGCGCTTCAGGTGGCCACAGGCTGCCATTACTTATAACACACTTCGAATAGCTCTAATCTAGACAGTATTTTGTCCACCAGCTGTAATAATCTGCTACCACTCAAGAACAACTGTATTCATGTCATAGTCAACAGTATATCTTCATGGGCAAATGGTGATGGATCCTTTTAGTACCATGATCCTCTTAAGTTCTAATCCATTGGTAGACCTGACATAGTTTTTTCAAATATCCTTTAGTGACATAGTCATTCACTTGGTCTCAGTAATATATTTTTTCATTTGCTAACTGCTGAAATGCATTTCAGCTATAGCATTTATGTGACATTGGTCCATTTATTCAGAGATTCAGACTGGTAATCAGTTCTAGACTATAGTTGTGGACTCATTACTGACTATACAAGAACCTTTGAGCAATGATAGTCACAAACCTTGTGCACTTTACTAGGTCTGTGTAACAGGCTTCTAGAAGGTTTCTGACTTTTTTGGAAAGGCATACTCTTCTAAGGCGTAGTTTATTTCATTTCCCAGCCCACAGTAATGGCAAAGCAGTATAATAAGGAACAGACACATTGCTTAACAAAAGTTCAACATCTGGGGCAAAGGCAGTGGGGGAAGGGTTGCAAAAAAAACCAGCAGGAAAGACATCCTGTGTTCATGGATCAGAATATCTAACATTACTAAAATAGCAGTATGCCCTAAATTGATTTACAGATTCAATATAATCTCAATAAAAAATCCCAGGTGGTGTTTGGTTATTTGTTTGTTTTTTAAAGAAATTGACATGCTGATCCTAAAATTCATGTAGATATGCAAGAGAACCAGAATAACCAAAGCAATCTTGAAAAAGAATAGAGTTAGAGGATTCACACTTCTCATTTTCAAAACCATACTAATCAAAACTGTAGTATTGACATAAGGATAGAAATATAGAATATGTGGAATAGACTTGAGGGTCCCTAAATAAACCCTCATATTTATGGTCAATTGATTTTTTTCAATAAGGGTACTGAGACAGTTCAGTTGGGAAAGAATATTTTGAACAAGTAGTGCCAGGACAACTGATATTCTCCTACAAAAATATTAAGTTGGATCCTTACCTTACACCATATCCAAAAAGTAACTTGAAGTAGACCATAGACCTAAATATAAGAGCTGAAACTATAAAACTCTATGAAAAACTATGAAACTATGTTATAAAACTATAACATAGTAAATATTCATGACCTTGGGTTAAGCCTTGGTTTCTTAGATATGACACCAGTAAAGCACAAGTGACAAAAGAAAAAAATAGATGAGTTACCAAAATGTAAAACTTGAGTGCATCAAAGGATACTATTAAGAAAGTGAAAAGGGATACCAGATTATGGGAGAAAATGTTTAGAAATCATACATTTAATGAAGGATTTGTACCCCAAATGTGTAAAGAACTCCTACAACTAGATAACCCAAAGACAAATAACCAGTTTTAAAAATGGGTGAAGATCTGAATAGATATAAAGAGGGGCTTCTAGTTGGCTCAGTCAGTTAACACCTTCTGCTCAGGTGTTGATCTTAGCGTCCTGGGATCTAGTCCCGCATTGGGCTCCCTCCCCCTGCTCTTGTACACTCACTCTCTCTCCCCTCTCCAAATAAATAAGTAAAATCTTAAAAAAAAAAAAAAAGATATACAGGTGACCAATAAATGTATGAAAAAATATTTGAATCACTGTTCATTAGGGAAATGCAAAACAAAACCACAGTGAGATATCGCTTCACATGCCTAGGATGACACAGATTTTGAAAATCAGACAATAACAAGTGTTGATAAGGATATGGAGAAATTAAAACCCTCATACATTGTTGGTAGGAATGGAAAATGGTACAGCTGCTTTGCATAACAGTTTGACAGTTCCATAATAAGTTAAATGTAGAATTACCATATGACCCACCAACTTCACTTCTGAATATATACCCCAAAACACTGCAAACCAGAGTTCAGGGCACCTCAGTGGCTTAGTCAGTTAAGTATCTGCCTTTAGCTCAGGTCAAGATCCCGAGGTCCTCAGATCGAGCCCTGCATGGAGCTTCCTGCTTATCAGGAAGTCTGCTTCTCCATATCCCTCTGACCACCCCCTGCTCGTGCACCCCACCCCCGTCTCTCTCAAATAAATAAATAAAATCTTAAAAAAAAAAAAAAGAAATCCAGTGTTCAAACAAAAATGTACACACAAATGTTCATAGCAGCCTTATTCAAGATAGTGAAAAAGGATAGAAATAACCCAAATGTCCATCAACTGCTAGATGAAGAAACAAAATGTATACCCATACAGTGAAGTAATACTTGGCTATAAAAAGGAGTGAAGTAGTGATAACATGCTACCACATGAACCTTAGAAACATGCTAAGTGAAACAATCCAGAGATAAAAGGCCATATATTGTGTGACTGAGTTTGTGTGAAATATGTAAAATAGGTAAATCTGTAGAGACAGAAAGTAGATATGTGGTTGTTTGGGCTGGAAGTGAAGGTTGGGAGTGCGGAATGACTGCTGATTGTATGGGGCTGGGTTTTTTGCGGATTGTTGGAAATAGTTTAAAATCAGGTTGTGGTGGTTGCACAGTTCTGGAAATACACTAGAAACACTGACTGCACTTGAAGTGGGTCTATGGTGTACGAATTCTATCTCAATGAAGGTTTGAAAATAGAAAAACAAGGATGCAGGATTTTTCCTTTCACACAATAGAACATAAAAATGAAACCTCTGTGGGATCTTTGATTTTTTTGTGTGTTCATCACTGTATATCTTGGACTGAACTCGTTGCTTGCCACACTGTCAGGTCACATTCATCAGCTGAATTCCAGGTCTGAGTACTTAATTTATGTTAGGGGAGAAGAAAGCAAGGCACATCACTCTGGGACCATTTAGGGAAATACTCCCTAAAAAGTACCACTATTGATGTATGTAATAGTGATCCAGAAGGAAGAAAAAATTAGTTTGTTAGTTACCTGTTTCTTAAAGTAAGAGATGTACTTAGTAATTTTCTGAAACATCAGTCAGTTTGAATGGGATTAAATGAGCTAATGAATGCTCAAGCTCCTATTATGTGTCTAGTGTGTGTCACATACAGTGCTAGTAGGTTGTCCCCTCCTCTTTGTTTATTTTTGGTGTTGGAAAACAGTGTTCCAGATAATTCGTAAAGTTTCACCATTTAGGACATGGTTGTTTTCATTCTTTCTTCCTTGATCTTGGCAGTGTCCATACCCTCTTTAACAGTGTAATTCCCTAATCTTGATGATCATCTCTTTTCCATGAGTATCCTGCCTTTGCCTCCACACCCTAAGACTTGCTGGCTGCATTGTTTCTTATGTTCTGTATTGACAGAAATTGGATCACTTAACAGTTTTAAGGTAAAGTCCAGACTCAAAGATACTGATTAGTGGTTAATGTAGCTAATAGTATTTTTAACACTAAATTCGTTGATAAAGGAAGCACTTAACACTGGCAAAGTTTATAAAATACTATTTTTTAAATACTACAGCTTTCTCATTACTGACCTTTTTACAGATTGTAGGCATACAGTTCGTGTGTATGACTTTGAGGTGTGTGGTTGGGGTAACTGGTTCTAGGCCTTAGGCCTTTACTGTGTGGCCAGCAGAGGGGTCCATAACCATTTCAGTGAAAGACTGGATTGTGTTTCTGGGGTTGACCTTCCTCATTTAGGTCTTGTACTTGACAGCTCTAGAATTTTTTGATAATGTAAAGAGCATTTGCATTTTGAGGACTGTGTTACATAAAGCCCTAAAGAAAAGTGTATCTTGAATCTGGTATAATTTTCTACCAAAAGAAGAGTTGTTCAAATCCCTTTCAGTTAATGGCAGAACTAGCCAGTGCTAAATCATATACCAACTACATGGAGCATTGGTGGTATAGTGGTGAGCATAGCTGCCTTCCAACTACATGGTGTGTGAGGTTTAGGGTCTAAATTTCTCCCCTGGGTGTGTTGTTTTGTAGGTCTCCATCACTTTTTTGCCCAGAGATAGAGGGGATTATGCTCAGTTTTGGGATGTTGAGTGTCACCCCCTTAAAGAGCCTCACATGAAACATACCCTGAGATTTCAACTCTCTGGACAAGTGAGTATTACACTGAATTTAAGTGAATTGTTGTGTGTGCATATTAAAAACATTAAGTGAAACTGACATGGAAAACTGTCCTGAAAATGCAGACTATTTTCCTGGTACTATTCTAATCTCATTAATTCTGTCGTCTGGCCCTGTAATCTTAATTTTCTCATTTGCTTTTATTGATTGGCATGCCTTGAGGTCTGGGTTGGCTCTGTGAAATCTGTGTTTGACTTGATGAGGTAAGATTGTGTGTGTGTGTGTGTGTGTGTGTGTGTGTGTGTGTGTGTAGTGTGTATAAAGAAGCTGAACAGGAAAAAATGTAGAGATTGCGATTTAGGGAATTTAAAAAAGTCTTAAGGTTTCTTCGAAAAATTGTGAAGGAAATAATAGAATTCAACCAGGTAATTATCCATATATTTTCCAAGAATATTTATTTTTCCTCCCCCACCCTGTAATTTTTTTTTTTATACAGAGTGTCAAAGCAGAAAATGAGCCTGAAAGTTCAAAAATTTCCACAAACTCCCTCATTAAACTAGATAATTTAGTTAAGTCCCGAAGACAAGCTGTGTCAGAGGCTTCTGCTCTCATACCCGGGTATGTTGTCTTTGTCATTCTTATGACATTTTTTCCAGTACTTTATTGAGATATAATTACATTCAGTAAAATGCTCAGTGTCCTTACCTGCGAGTTCTCATGCATTGCTACCACTCCAGTCAAAATAGAGAATATTTCTTTTCACCCAGAGAGCTCCTACATATCCCTTTGCAGTCAACCCCGCCCTTACCCCAAGATTTGTTCTTTTCTGATATAGGTTGGTTTTGTCGAATTTTGTACACATACACACTCCCTGAGTCTGGCTTCTTTCATCACACATGTTTTTGGGATGCATTTGTGTTGTAGGGTGTACATCTAGTTTGTCCTTGAGTATTGTTTTATGTGATCATACCATAATTTATTCATTTTGCTGGTGACATTTGGGCGGCTTCTCATTTGGAACCTATAATTATAAGTGAAGTTGCTATGAACACTATTGTATGTGTATTTTTGTGGACATACTTTAAGCCAGCCAGGCACCCCTTAAAAACTTTTTAAAATGTGTTTTTTATACCAGTAGCTTACACAGCTCTAGTGGTAATATTTAAGTATTTTGCCTAATAAACATGTTTCTTACAATCCTTAATTAACTAATACTTAGATCTAACTTTGTTCTGGAGGAAGACACTTGTAAGAAAAGTATGTGTTAAGTACCTGCTAAATTTAATATTCATGTTGTTATTTATTTTCTAATGGGAGTTTTGTAAGCATTTTGTAAGCAGTGAGGCTCCTTTAAAGATTATGTGTTCTAACCACACTCTTTTGATGCTACGTACTCCTTTGTTCATCTCGTCTTTACGGAGCACACACCATGTGCTGGGTAGTGGAGGCAGAACTGCCCTAGTCCTTGTCTCCAGGGGCTTTACCTCCTAGAGAAGGAGCCACATCACAGATAGTCTCACTAACAGGCTTGATTACAACCTGTGGAAAGGACTGGAAGGAAAGAAATGGGAAACATGACAGAGGGAGCTTGATGTGTGATACCTGGGAAGAGCATCCCCGAAATGGGACCTTTAAGTTGAGGAGGATAAGTAGAAATGACGGACGTGACGAGCATAGGAGAAGTTCCTGACCTTGTAAGGACCAGGTAGTGGGGATCGTTGGCCCTTGAGGAACTGAAAGCAGCATCCAGGCCTAGAGCCCAGAGGGAGGGAGAGTAGTGTGAGGTGAGGCCAGAGGGCTGGTGAGCAGAGGCAGACTGTGCAGGGCCTCGCATGGTAGATATTAATTTGGGATTTATCTGGGAAGCTGTTGGAAGCCATGAATGACGTGATCAGATTTGAGTATTTATAGAAAAATCCTCTGGCTGTGGTACAGTCTGATTAAGAAGGAGGCAAGAGTATATATGGTAAAACAAGTCAGATGCTATTTATGTAGTCCAGGACTAAAGCAGTGTCCAGGAAAATGATGAGAAATGGACAGATTTGGGAGGCGTATAGGAAGGAAATTTGAAGGATTCAGTGAGTGGGTTCAGTAAGGGGGCTTGAGAGAGAAAGGGGATCAGAGTTGGCTTCCAGACAGAAATACAAGTGGAGGGTCAGGTCTGAGAAGAAGGATCCCAGGTTTAATCCGGATTTGTGGCATCAGATCACTGTGTGGTGACAGGCATGTTGCCCAACAGCTCATTGTGAGCTGAGCCATGGATCTGGGAGTCACACGGGGGTGGGCTTGCTGGTTCACTGAGCTGGGATTTCTAGGGAGACTGCAGCGAGAGCAGTTAGAGGTGTCCGGGGCCAAGCCACAGGGGACAGCAGCAGTGGCAGTGAGGGCGTGGGGATGAGCCCGCACAGACTGAGCCTGGTTCTGCATCCTTGTCGTCAGATGCTGCTGAGAGGCCAGAGCTTGTGTTCCACCGTTAGGGTAGTCTCTCCGGAAAAATGAAGATCGTCCAGCGGACTGCGCTGGGAGTGCTCTGGGTGAAGTGAACTAAGGTGACAGGAGCACCTGCGTGCACATGGGCCTTGAGGCAAGTGGAGACCCAGTCCCCAGGGAGAAAGGGGCAGAGGTGGTGCTGTCATCGGTGTCCTGTCTCGCACAGCAGCCCACCCTGCACCTTATCAGAGAACCGTGCTGGGCGTTCTGTCTTCACAGGGATTCGTGAAGTTGCCATTATAGAACTAATTTCCTGCTGAGCTGTGAGGGAAAATACAAATCGAAACACAAAACACTTCCTTGTCGAATATATATAAATTGTTTAAATTACTCTGGATTTTAAATAGTTGACTTTTAAACCTGTTTCCAAAGCAGACAGCTTGACTTGATGCATCGTGGAGTTTATGCCCCAGAAGATGTGTATCAGTTTCTGCCTACTAGGGTTGGGGAGTCAAGGACGTTGAAAGTCAATTTGCGAAATAATTCTTTCATTATGCATTCCGTAAGTTGGAAATAGTACTGTGGGTTTTGGGAAGATGGATGTATTCAACTATTTAATAAATATTTTCCTGATAATTTAGAAGCTTGTTTTATAAATTATACCTGTTTTAATGATTAGTTTTTAAATGCTTTATGCTGTATTTGAAAAGTAACTCATGAGAAGTTCATGACCCTTTATCTGAAAATTGAAAATATTTGGCATTTGTTTTCATATTTTCATTTTTAAATTTTTTCTCTTGTTTTCTTTTTCTTCTGTACCAATTGATACCAACGTATTTCTGGATAACATTTACTCTAGTCAGAACTAGAGTAAATTCATATTAAAATTATTTTAAATGTGTTTTCATGAGCATTTATTGTCTTACCTAATTTTGTGGCTATACTTAAATTTACTAAATACCTTTAATTAAAGAAATGCATGGTATGTTTACGTATGCTCAAATGTCTAACTTGCATAATCTAATAAAGTGTTTCATATTAAATTCCAGCTCAAGTTTTTAAGTCCCAGAGAGCCTTTCTACGTCAAACATTCAAAATATTCTTTGAGGTGAGTTTATCATAAATCAAAATGTTCTCATTCGAGTGCAGGACTTCATTTTCAGGACTTTAGAATTTCTCCTGAGAGTTGGGCCTTGTGAGCTCTCCCTGCTCCCATTATAGCCCATCATCTCTATCACCACCACAGAGCATTCCTTGTCATAAATTTTAATAAATGCTGAGGAACCTGCCGGGAAAGCATTTTATGACTGCCCACAAGTGTGCTTTACTATGCAGCAACCCAAACTTTGTGGGATGTTTTGGATTTAGCATATGATTCCTGTTACCCGGTATTTTGCCCATCATGTAAATACATAGAACATTAATTATCTTGTGATTTAGAATAATTTCTTCTTTAAATGTTATTTTTACTATGCTAAGGATCAGGGAGTTGAATTTTCAATAATTGGGACAAAACTGTCCCAGCTTAATTAGGAAAACTTTTATTGTGATATTTTTCCGGTTGTCATTCTTCAAATACCCTGTACTTCATCCCCCGCCCTTTTTTTTTTTAAGATTTTATTTATTTATTTGAGAGAGAGAGTACACAAGCCAGGGGAAGGGGCAGAGAGATAGGGAGAAGCAGGTTCCCCACAGAGCAGGAAGCCTGATGCAGGGCTCCATCCCAGGACCCAGGGATCATGACCTGAACGGAAGGCAGACACTTAACCAACTGAGCACCCGGCCGCCCTGAAATATCCTATACTTCTTAAACCGGGTCCTTTTTCTCTTGTCACTTTGCTACTTTTTGTTTTCCATATGATCTACATTTATTTTTTTTCCCCCTGTAGGATCTACATTTAGATTGAAATCTCAAACTGGGTTGTCACGGTTATCTAGAATTTTAACAATAGTGTTCTGTCAGACTTAACACTGAAGAATAATTTTATCTCCATCTTTGAATCTTTAAGCCATTTAATTAATTATAAACTCTTTTATTTTAGTATTAGGTGATTCCAAAAACATGTTATGTTCCATGAAAACTTGGACCACCCTGTGAACATTCTAGGACTGCCTCTGAGGCTCTAAGACTAGTAGAGCCATACTCTGGAAGGTTACCTGTATCTCTAGATACCAAAAAGATGCTGTGGGGGGAGGCCCGTTCCCTGTCCTCTTTCTCTTTTCTCTCTTTACCTCTTCTACCTCCCCTCCCAGCCTCCAGACTGTAAAACCTGCTATTCATGTACTTGAGGGTCCAGCACTTCCTTTGCCTCCCAGCACCTGACCTAAGGGCACAAGCTGTGCAAATCAAATAGTGAATGTATCTAGAAAGTTATCATAGGCTTCATCTCTCTAAGCCTCCGTCTCCTGATTTGTGAGAGACGACCGCGCTCCTGGCAGCCCGGGTTCATTAGGAGAAGGACATAAGCGATGTGCTGGTGTTAGCGTCTAGCCCTCGGGGGCACTTGGGAGGTGGTAGCATCTCGGGTGTTACTGACAATGCCTTCCTTTCAGCCAGCATCCCTGGTGAGGTCCGTCAGGACCAACCCCATGGATTTTAATGGAATGCCACGTTTTTGTGTCCTTTGCTTTTCCTTTAATCCCTTCAACAGCCACGTGGAAGAGAAAGGCCCTAAGTTGTAAAAAACCAGTAGCTGCACATTTTCTAGTTTCTGCAGTCTTGAGTTCTTGACTCCCAGCAGCCTGTGGGCCTCCAGTTAATGAGGCTTTGCCCGACTGATTGAGGACTGGTGATGTTAGACCGTGTGTTACCGTAGGTGGGCACTGCTAAACACATGAGTAAGAAGACCAAATGAAGTAAACCCAGGTCACAGAAAACTTCTCTCAAGACCCCTCCATAGGCTGAAATTTTACATAAAGTTCAGCAGAAAAGCTGGTTTCTTTATACTTGAGAACAACTTCTTTCAGCTTTGGAGAGGAAGCAAAACTTTGCTACAGTATCTCACTTGAAAATTTTTTTTCTTTTTTTTTAATTTTTTTTTTTAGATTTTATTTATTTATTTGACAGACAGAGATTACAAGTAGGTGGAGAGGCAGGCAGAGAGAGGAGAAGGGAAGCAGGCTCCCTGCTGAGCAGAGAGCCCGACACGGGGCTCGATCCCAGGACCCTGAGATCATGACCCGAGCTGAAGGCAGAGGCCTTAACCCACTGAGCCACCCAGGCGCCCCTCACTTGAAAATTTTTACCACAAAACTGAAATAGTGCTGCCTGTTCTTACTGTAATGGTTAGTGCTTTTGTGTTTATCCCACTTTGACTTTGCACAGGGGCTCATGAAATACAAATGCTGGTTCAGAGCAACGGTTAGCTTGCCTTGGCAGGTGGAACGGAATCTGTTCTGAGAATCTGAGAAGCAGTTCCCAGCTTTGCATTAGTGATGTTTTTGTTCATTGATCACTTTCTGCTCTACGACACCATAAACTCCAGCCTTCCAGAGTAAAACTGTGACTTATAGTCATCTGTAGAGAACCTGAGGTGATCTGTGCCTCACTCCAGATAGGCACCTTCCCCAGGGCAGTCGTGAGGCCTGACAGGGCTGCTCGGGGTAAGTTCTCACACTGAACTGTGAAAGTGGCCTGAGGCCTTTGGGATATGCCACAGAAGTAGGAGAGCTTCCTCCAGAGGCCACAGAGGTTTTGCCTAGTTCAGAGGTGGGGAGCATGGATGTATATTAGGGATATAGCCCCCTTAAGGCAGTAGATTATAAAGAAGGTAATAGGGGAAGGAAACCCCGATTGTCAATTTTTTGTAAAGTTTGTTTTTGGGGTTCCAGGTGATCATTTCTATCCTAGCTTTGTAAAAAGAATTCGTTTATGTTCCCACTTAGCCCTGAAAAGCATTCTTTCTGCTCACCTATTGTTTTATTCGAGTCTAATCTGCTGAGACATTATCGGAATACATTTCCCATCTCCTGTGCCCACATCTGCATGCACCCAGCATCCTGGCCGGCTCCTGCTGCTGAGCTGCCAGACCCTGCTGGGTCATCCCAGGGGGAGGTCACAGCCAGGGACAGTGCTGTCATTGAGCCATCATTCTTACCAACATGCAGGAGCCAAGGAGTTTGTCTCCTTTTCACTTTCTTTGGTAATGATGGTATCTTGACTGTGCTAATGGGCTCCTTTTTCCCTACACAGAGTATTCCTTTTCAATTAAAAAAAAAGGAAGAAACCTGGTTTATATACTTTGTAGGTTCTGTAGATGGGGGCATATAGTTGAGGATGTGGTTTAGAGTGCTCTACCACAGCTCCTGCTTCCCTCTTGGCTGTGTCTTTGTTCTAACTTTAGTCCTCAGATAGTGAGGGATTTTGAACGAGACCTTTCCTCTGGCTACAGCATACTTTACTCTGCCTTTTTCCTTTTAAGTGTGTGTGTGTGTGTGTGTGTGTAAGAGAGAGAGGTTAAAGAGATAATAGTACTGTGGTACTAAAAGGTACTGTGTTTAAAACATCCATCAGGTAGTGTTCTAGAGCTTAGTAAATTCACAGTTCTTTCTAAATTGCATTCTAGTTTATTCAGAGTATCTGTAAATCCAAAAACACGTTCTCAGTTGAATATAGAACAGTTCTATGTTCCATATTAAAATTTGTTAATGATGGGTCTGTCAGATTTGTTTCAGGATACTTTATTTTAGTAATTCATAAGTTACTTATAACTTATGCCTCTTAAGTTGGCAAATTGTGCATTGTTCTGGGTGCTGAAATGCCAACATGAAAGATAAAATAGTAGTTTGTCAGTGCTAAGGACTAGGTACCATTTTTAAAAAGGCACATTAGGGGGCGCCTGGGTGGCTCAGTGGGTTAAAGCCTCTGCCTTCGGCTCAGGTCATGATCTCAGGGTCCTGGGATCGAGCACCACATCGGGCTCTCTGCTCAGCAGGGACCCTGCTTCCTCTCTCTCTGCCTGCCTCTGATCTCTGTCTGTCAAATAAAACAAAACAACAACAACAAAAAACCTAAAAGGGCACATTAGGGGCGCCTGGGTGGTGGCTCAGTGGGTTAAAGCCTCTGCCTTCAGCTCAGGTCATGATCTCAGGATCCTGGGATCAAGCCCCGAGTTGGGCTTTCTGCTCAGCAGGGAGCCTGCTTTACCCTCCCTCTCTGCCTGCCTCTCTGCCTACTTGTGATCTCTCTCTTTCTCTCTCTCTCTCTGTCAAATAAATAAAAACTTAAAAAAAATAATAAAAAATAAAAAGGCACATTAGCTTTGATACAGGAAATTAGGATATAATGCATTTGGGGAAAATAACCCAGACTTTTAAAAACTGTGTGTGTGTGCATACATTTTTAAAATTCTGCTTTTAAATATCCAGGGAAAGGGCTTTGAAATACTAAAACTGTTTTCTAAATTTCTAGCCCACTACAGTTGTACACCCAAAAGCTAACACTGTACTGAGTTTTATCAGGAAATATACTGGAAACAAAGCATAAATCAGTTCTGATTGCTGAACTTTAAAACGTGTTTATTGATGAGACTTAGGGATGAAGTACCTTCCCTCTGAGGAAAGTCAAAAGCTATTAATTTTCACTTAAGACAATTAAGACTAAAAGTGACATCACATAGGCTGTGATAAAATATTTGTGGTCTCATTCATCATGGGAATAAAGGTTTATTTGTAAATTTCTTGGGACCTAGTTTTATGAACAAAAACTTCCCAACATAATACTTTTTTAAAGAAGACTTATTTTTCAGAGAGAAGGTATGTGTGAGCAGGAGAAGGGGCAAAGGGAGAGGGAGAGGGTCAGAATCTCAAGAAGACTCACTGCCAGGTATGGAGCCTGACACAGGGCTCAATCTCATGACCCTGAGATCATGACCCGAGCCAAAATCAAAAGGCAGATGCTCAACCAACTGAGCCACCCAGGCCCCCAACATAATAGTCTTAAACACAGGGTGCTCATTACCTGCCTCTATATATAGTTGACCCTTGAACAATGCGAGGGTTAGGGGCACCGACCTCCATTCCGTGGGAGATCTGTGGTTTACTTTTGACTCCCCCAAAACTTAACTTATAATGGTCCACTGTTGGCCAGAAGCCTTTCCAGTAACAGTCAGTTAATATATTTTCATATGTGTTATGTACTATATTCTTATATTAGGCAGAGAAAAGAAAATGTGATCAAGAAAATCAGAGAAAATAACATTTATAGTACTACACTTTTTTGAGAAAAAAAAATCCTCAGGTAAGCAGACTGCTCAGTTCAAACCTGTGTTGTTCAAGGGTCAAACGTAATCTGAAATTTTCAAGAAAATTTTTTATAAAAGTTCCTAACGGTCCTGGAGCAGAACCTGTACAGCCCTGCCCTGTTACTGGTGGGCATGGGACAGGTTGGTCTACTATCCTTCCTGGATATGTAGTATAGTATATGTAGTATAGTACATATAGGATATGTAGTATATATAGATATATACTACATATATATAGATATATGTAGTATGAGTATGCTGCTGGGGGAAGACGGGCAGGATATGTCAGGTGTCCTCTCTCCCTTCTTTTGTTGGGTAGCCAGGAATATATATGCAATACTATTTAAATCTGATTTTAGATTATCCTCTCCTTGGCCAGTTTCTTAGTAATAGCATCAAAGAAATGAGAACCCAGTTTAAATGGAAAGTAACAATACTAAGTTCTTTCATGAAAACTGACTGCGCGCTCTGCTGTGCATCGTGCTTATGAAGGTGGCAGGGAATGCTCATGCTGTCGGAGCTTCAGGACAGTGACCTTTCCTTTCTCTTTACAGAGCCCAGCATTACATCAACATGCCTGTGCAGTTCAGACCAAAGGCAGTGGGCAAATTTGAAGCTTTGCTTGTTATCCAAACAGATGAAGGCAAGAGTGTTGCTATTCGGCTAATGGGTGAAGCTCTTGAAAAAGTTATCTAGATACCTTTTGTGTAAAGTAAATTACATAAGTTATATTTTGGTAACTTTGTTTTTTTACACTACGATATTCTTTTGTATATATTTTGTAAGATTGACTTGATATGTCTAACTAGATTTTGGTTTGTTTGTCTTGAGAAGCTAATACTGAAGACCCAACTAAAATATCATGTATGTAGCCTACAGTATTGTACTTAACTTTTTTATGGAGGAGAAGAGAATTCTATTTTTGCATTGATTATGATACTCTGAACAAATACGGTGTATATTTTAATGTGGTATACCCAGAAATAAATGTAATTTCCACTGAACCTGTCTTTTTCATATGATGTCTTACAGAAATCAGAATATTGCTTTATTCTGCTAATTATTTTCTCAAGCTGCTGGGTCTATTTTGTGATTTTTTTTTTTTCCTCCATTACACAGTTTCCTTTCTTCTAAGAAATCCCTTCTCTGGTCCTTCTGTCTTTTAGCTAATTGCCCAGACTAGAAAGGAAGTGTACTTTTAAAGAAAGTGTTTTTCTCCAAAGTAGGGGAATTCATATTCTCTGCAAATACATTGGAGAGGTTGATGTAGTTTAAAATAGCATTTATTGTAATTAAAGTTAAATGGGACAGCTGCTCCAGAACCCTTCATAGAAGGAAGGCTCTACAAGCAGGTGCTGGTGGAGAGACCGTGAGTTGACGAGGGGGCAGAAGTACCCTATTGTGGCATCTTGAGCTGTGAGGTGGAAAAGGCGTGACACAGACTTGGTTTTACCCAGGAGGACCATGATGATGAATTGCTTCTCAACCATTACTGTTAAGTCTCCTGACAAAGTTTCCTGAGCCCCAGCTAACAGCCTTGTTGGTGGGAGCAGCAAAATCCCAGATTGTGAGCAGTTGTGTGGTGGCTTGGGTGACCACAACTGGATATTATTGATGGAGCAGAAAGACTGGAACATGCAGGAAGCTTCCTGGATGGCTTCAGTCTGCAGTAGTTTGGAACCAGTGATGGTAAGCTGGAGGTAGAAAAACAAATTTCTTTTCTCTCTGAAATCAATACATCCTTAGAAGGGGGGGATTGGCGCCTGGGAGGCTCAGTTGGTTAAGGCGTCCAACTCTTGGTTGGTTTCAGCTCAGGTCATGAAATCAAGCCCCACATCAAGTATGGCGCTCTGCTTGAGATTCTCTCTCTCCCTCTGCCCCCTCCCCCCACTTGCACACATACTTTCTCTCTCTATAAGAAATCTTTAAAAAAATTTTTTTCTTTCCTCTTCTACCTTATTTTCTCTTGCTTAGAAATTCTTTCTTAGAAATCAAATTTATAGGGGTGCCTGGGTGGCTCAGTTGTTAAGTGTCTGCCTTTGGCTCAGGTTGTGATCCTGGGGTCCTGAGATTGAGCCCTGCATTGGGCTACCTGCTCGGCAGGAAACCTTCTCCCTCTCCCTCGGCCCCTGCTTGTGTTCCCTTTCTCACTGTCTCTCTCTCTCTCTCTCTGTTAAATGAATAAAATCTTTTAAAAAATCAAATTTATAAAAACATTTTTTAACATTTTATAAGATAAAAAATATAAAAACATTTTATAAAATATAAAATAATAAAAACATTATATTTTAACACAAGTTAAACAGTTGTTGCTGTTACTGATATTGCCCTACTCCAATTTGGATTTTATACATCAAATGTGGGTGACTTCATGCTTCAATGTGTTAATTTGATAACATTCAGCCTCAAAAATTTTGAAATGATGGTATTACTTTTTTATTTTTTTAAAGATTTTGTTTATTTGAGAGAGAACACAGAGCAAGAGAGAGAGAGCATGAGTTGGGGGGAGAGACAGAGAAGGAGAGAGAAGCAAACTCCCCACTGAGGAGGGACACCCTCCCCCCCCAACATGGGGCTCGATCCCAGGACACTGGGATCATGACCTGAGCTGAAGGCAGACGCTTCACCAAATGAGCCACCCAGGTGCCCCAGTGTTGCTTTTTAAAAAATGTTTGCCATGGTCTTTCAGTTCCTCAGGGTTGTTACATTTCTGTGGAACGATCACTCTGCCTTTTAGATTATACTCAGGAGGTAAAAAAAAAAGGGGGGGGGGCATTGTTAAGCAAACGAAAAACTTGAAATGACTCTCCTGTAGACCATATGCCTTTATGGATATTCATTTCTTCCTGTGCCTCTGTGTTTTGGAAGCTGGATGCTTGGAGTTTCGAGAGCAGTTGAACGTGAACTAGTGATTGACTATAGCCAGTCATTGCCATAAAGCAGCTGTGACCACTGGCTCCCTTCACTATGATCTGCAGTGTGGAAGAGCATCTGATAGGCAAAGTTACCATATCTACTTTCCCTAATTAGCTTTCCATCTAGAAGCTGGTCCCCCTTCTTTCCCATTCCTTCCCAGATCGAAACCTTGAGTCTTACCCTCTCTGAGCTTCAGACTCAGCGGGACATTTCCAGGTGGTTCTCGAATAGGCACCTCAAACTTTGGATTCCTTCCTACCTCAAAGATGTTCTCTCCAGCTTTCCTCGTCTTCACAGATGTCCTCACTCTCCATCCAATTTCTTAGCTAAAACCGTAGGTTTGGGTGTTTTACCCTCATCCCCATCAACTCTACTGAACGTGTCTCACAGAAGTCTTTCAGTCTGTGTCCAGGGGTGGCCACTATAGCCCATGCCACCATCCTCACTCTCATCCTGCTGCCATAGTCCTCTCACCACACTGCTGCTTGTGCTCCTGCCTCAGGAAGCCCTTCTCCACCAGCAGGCAGAGTTACATTGATAAAAATGGAGACCAGAGCCAAAGCTCCCCTGCCTAAAATACATAATTACATTACACATTGTCTGAGTCCACACTCACTTCCTTGTTGGCCTAGGAGGTTACTGGTCCTCTGGCCTCTCTGCCTCCCCCTGAGGCCTCATCTACTCTCCAACCACTTTGCACCAGCTCTGTGGCCTTTGTTTCCTGACTCAGTCACTAGGGCCTTCTTGCCTGCTGGACGATTGGCCTCTAAAGTTCTTCCCCAGATCTTGGCATGGCTACTTCCTCCCCTCCTCAAGGGGGGCCTTTCCTGACCAGTGTCCAGGAGAGTCCCTCCCTAACTATCTCACATCACACTTCTTGCTTCACATTACAACCCTGTCTCTTTCTTATATACTTGTTGACTAGTTTACTTATCTCCCTCAAGAATGCTAGCTCTGTGTGACCACAGGCCTGGGCTTCCATCCTGATCACTACATCCCCAGACCTGGTCAGCCCCATGTATGATATGACTGACCGCATTCATTGTTCTGGAAGGTTCTCTGCACACTGTCCTGACCCAAAAGCCCAGCCATGCTTCTCACCAGCCCCAGTAAACATCATCCCAGGGTTCCCGAAGATTTCTTACCTAGTTTCTCACCAGTCTCTGGTAGGTCGTTCCTCACCATAATAAGTGAACATTAATTGAGTGCTTCCTATGTGGCAGGTAGTGTCTCAAGTGCGGTCTATGCACTGTCCCCCTTAATTCTCATCAGCTTCATAGAGACAGACCCTTTCTTGACAGGAAGGCCTGAGAGAGAGAGGGTCAGAGGCCTTTATCCTGCTTTAGTCTCCGCTTACCTGTGACTGTATCTGGGAACAGACTGGTGGATCGGTAGCAGGCTGTGGATGGTGCTGAGCCTCAGGAGGGCAGGATGGCCCCGATAGCCTGGCATGGATGAGCAAACTCAGGCTCAGACTATAAGCCAGGACTGGGATCCAAACCTTGATTTTTCGACTTGGGGTGCTAATTGAAGATAATAGAAACTATTCTTGTGGTAATTAGAGAAATTGTAACATTGGTATATGTCTTTAAAAGTTTGATTCCCTTTGGTTGTAAAGCAACCCTGAGATCACAGATTATTAGCACATTTGACACACAGTCGTGCTTCTCAGCCAGGAAAGATATTTTAGCAGGCAAAAAGTTCCGTAGGATTCAGGGATGATTAATGTGCATCATTACTGATTTAATTAGTCCAGAAATGAGACTAGGTAAGAGGGCATCTGTTTTTAGTCTACAGTTAAACTCAGGGATGGTTTTCAGTTGCATTTCTATACACAAACAATGAGACAGAAGATAGAGAAATTTGAGGAATCAATCCCATTTACAATTGCACCGAAAGCCATAAGATACTTAGGAATAAACCCAACCAAAGAGATAAAGGATCTCCACTCTAAAAACTATAGAATGCTTATGAAAGAAATTGAGGAAAGACCCAAAGAAATGGAAAAACATTCCATATTCATGGATTGGAAGAACAAATATTGTTCTATGCTTGTCTATGCTACCCAGAGTGATCTACACATTCAATGCAATCCCTTTCAAACTACCATCAACATTCTTCACAGAGCTGGAACAAATAATCCTAAAATTTGTATGGAACTAGAAAAGACCCCGAATAGCCAGAGGAATGTTGAAAAAGAAAACCAGGGGTGTCTGGGTGGCTCAGTCAGTTAAGCATCTGCCTTCCGCTCAGGTCATGATCCCAGGGTCCTGAAATTAAGACCTAAATTGTGCTTCCTGCTCAGCAGGGAGTCTGTTTCTCCCTCTCCTTCTGCCCCCACTCGTGCTCTCTCTTTCTTCTCACTCTCTCAAGTAAAATCTAGAAGGGAAGGAAGGAAGGAGAAAAGAAAGAAAAAGGAAGGAAAGGAGGAGAGAGGTAGGAAGGAAGAAAGAAAGGAAGGAGAAAGGAAAACAGAAAACCAAAGCTGGTGGCATCACAATGCCAGACTTCAAGCTGTATTACAAAGCTGTAATCATCGAGACCACATGGTACTGGCACAAAAACAGACACATAGATCCACGGAACAGAATGGAGAACCCACAAATGGACCCTCAACTCTGTGGTCAACTAATCTTCAATAAAACAGGAAAGAATATCCAATGGAAAAGGGACAGTCTCTTCAACAAATGGTGCTGGAAAAATTGGGCAGCCACATGTAGAAGAATGAAACTGGACCACTTTCTTACATTGTACACAAAAACAGACTTAAAATGGATAAAAGACCTAAATGTTTGACAGGAATCCATCCAAATCTTGAGAACACAGGCAGCAACCTCTTTGACCTTGGCAACAGCAACTTCTTGCTAGACATGTCTCCAAAGGCAAAAGCAAAAATGAACTATTGGGATTTCATCAATAAAAAGGTCTGCACAGTAAAGGAAACCATCGGCAAAACTAAAAGGCAGCTATAGAATGGGAGAAGACATTTGCAAATGACATATCAGATAAAGGGCTAGTATCCAAAATCTATAAAGAACTTAGCAAACTCAACACCCAAAAAAAGGCCCAAAAAATCCAGTC